TTGACGGATGCTGAAATTTTGTGTATCTGACTTTATAAAATCCATTAAAAATAGTAAATCAACTACAAAAATCATGAAATTTCTAAAATATCACTTCCCAGTTGAGAGAAATAATTGTTTGAACACAGATATACAGTTTCTGAAAAAAACTGCTGAAAACACGTTTATGTAAATTCAATTAAAAATAACAAAACAACTCCAAATTTAGTAAAATTTGGGGAAATATTTGTATATATGATGATAAACATGTAAACGAAGAAATTTTTTAAATCACATTTCTCAATTGTGAAAACATATCTGTTTTGCAAAAACATGCACGAACATGTGCACGAACATGAGCTTATTAAAAACTTGATTTTGTAAATTCAAATAATCATAACAAATTAATTCCAAAATTAATAAAACTTTTGGAAACATTTATAAACATTAAATTGAACATGTTAGAAAAAGAATTTCTCAAATTGAATTTCCCATTTGTGAAAACTCATGTATTTTGTAAGTGTGTCCAAAACATGAAAATGTGATATACATGAAATTTGATGTTTTGACATAAATAATGTTTTAAAACCCTATGAAATAATTTTATAGACTTAATGAAATATGTATACAATGATTGTTAAGTCCATAAACCAAAACTTGTGTATATATATAACTATATATATAAAAACTAAATATGTGTGTGTATATATGATTGAGCTTAAAGTACTAACACACATAATATAAAACCTAAACTAAATATACCCAAGCTTGATAGATCTTCGATGTAGCTCAACTTGGTACACTTGCGGATGAAGCTAGAACTTGGATCTTCAATTTGAATTGCATAGGTTTCATTCCACAATTCCGCCAACCTCCATTGGATATGACCGTGAATGCGCAATTCCATCCATTCTCTAACTCGTTGTTTGCCTAGAATAAATACGAAAACACAAGCATTAGACAAACAACATTAGATGTAAATTGTTTGCTAAACATCATCAAAAACAAGAAGGCCAACAACTGACAAGTGGCTATTATCCAGTGTATATGGCCAATTAAAAGTCAACTTCGACCACTATGATTTAATAGATAGTGCGGGTACTTGCCAAAAAGAAAAAAGTTCCCCTTTCATCTTCAAAAGATCTATGGATCTCTGATCAGACTCTCTCATTAGAATCCCTAACTGATTCCTCCATTTTTAATTAACTATTTCCATTAAGAATAGCCATTAGCTATCATATTTTGTCACTTTCTTCTAGGTCAGATCCAACTTTGTCTTTTTCTCATGTTTGATGATATCCTCGCTACCATTGATCACGAAAACAAACAACATCTCTTACTACCATATATAATTCCTCCATTTCAATTGTTAGAGATATTTCTACCATTATAATGATCATCTCATCCTTCAAAACAGTCAATAGTGTGATCATTTAGTTGCACGTGTAGTCCAAATTACAAGGAAAAAATAATTGAAATTGAAATTATTAATTTAATCATTAGTAACAAGAGGTCAACTAACGTAAAAGATTAGATGAAGAGTATGAAAGCAATGGAAGGAGGAGGAGGAAGAAAAAAAAATGGTTTAATATTGAAACTACCATTACTTAATTTCTTCGTCTATTCAGACTAAAATACAATAGAGCATAATATGAAAAATACATTTCTACGTTATCAGCACCCCAAACTATCCATAGTTTGCATCCAAAAACAATTTCTCATCTATTATTATCAGAGTAATTCCTTTTAGACTAAGAAACTAGGGTCATTTAAGGGGACTGATGATGTGGAAATAAATTTATACCAATTTAATTTCTAGGTTGGATAAATAAAGAAGGGCATACAAGGATGATTATGGAATTGAAAAAAGAAAAACCGAGATATCATCCCATTGGTAGTAGTGAAATTACCATAAGGGGTGAATAGGGTAATCAAACAAAATGTGCAACTAATAAAAATACAATTCAATTTAAGACACAAAATATGATAATAAGCAATAATGTCACGCCCCGCTTCCCAAAATACCAGGGGAATCGGAACGTGAACAAGCCAGTGACGTATTAGATTGAGAAGAAATATACACTGACATTTTTGTCTTTTTTTTCTTTTCTTCTCAATCCAATACGCTAAGCGTCAAATACATAAATCTCAATCACAGGTCTACATAAATCTCAATCACAGGTTCCCGATCATAATAGCAAGAATATAAAGATAATCCAGAATAAGAAATAAACATATCATCCATGGTAATCATCCCAGACATAAAAATATGGGTCAAACATACTCTTATTACAAAATGGTCCAACTAGGAATAATAATACATAGTAATAATAATAATACATCGTATTATTCAAAATGATTCGTAATAGTATCAATAACACAACAGATAAATTCCAGAAATTTTTACTGTACTAAATATGTTTATAAATATCTAAATTATTTAAATAAATATAAAATTTGGACTTCAAATGATAGAAAAGTCTAGAAAATCGAGAAAAATACAAATACTTTTTTAAAAATCATAATTAAATATTTTAAAATACCAGAAAGTTATTTTAACTAATATAAAAAATTCATGGTCCTTACAAATAATAAAAAAGAGAGTGTGAGAGATTGTTAGCCAATGAAAACGACGATATGTTCACGAGATTCAGCCACTCTCGAGTCCCCGACCACCTCTCCCGATGGTAATCCACTACACAATCATGTTTAGAAGCTGGAACTTTTACACAATGATCTCCCCGAGATCAAATTCTCCACACAATGATCTCCTCGAGATTTATCACTCCACACAATGCCACAAATACAAGATGAAGAAAATGATCTCTCTTACAAGTATCCTATGGCAAAGATGAAGAGATGAACAGTTGAAGCACAAATATTTGTGGGATATGAAAGTGGAAAACTTAGAAGAAAATGCTTGAGGATATTATATTCCTTCATATTTTTCACCTGCTAGATTACTAGATTGGTATTTTAATTAGACCCCAAATGGCAAATAGGGTATTTTAAATAGCTCTGACTAACATAGTAAATGTTCCAACGAGGTAACACAGTCCATTTTCTTATCGGCGTTTACTTTTCTGACTAGATTTCCTCATGTGCTCGCATGTGATATTAGATTTCTCTTTTTATATTGTTGATTTGGCAAAGGCTTGTTGACTTAAAGAAAGCAACTAGAAAACGTAAATTGGAGAACTAAATTCAAATTGCGGAGAAAATCAGATGTAATTTTGAAAATAAGGGTTTATAAAAAGGGAAACTCTAAGGGGTAATTAACAATGGGAAAGTAAGAGAAACCTAAACCGTGTGAGGGTTAGGGTATTAACCTTCAAATTGGTTATTCATTAACGCCATCATCAAGCTCAAGCTTGCATTTGTAGGCACTAAAAAATGCCAAGAGTCAAGAGTGACAAACCTCGTCTCAGTCAATGAAGCTCGTCTTCTTAGCCAGACGAAGCTCTCAAACACCTCATCACTCAAACGACGAAGCTCATCATTGTAGACGAAGTTTGAAGCTCGTCACTAGGGACAAAGCTCACTCAGGAGACGAAGCTCATCATTGGAGACAAAGTTCGAAGTTCGTCATTAGGAACAAAGCTCAGTCAGCAGGTGAAGCTCGTTATTGGAGACGAAGCTCAAAGCTCGTCACTAGAGACAATGGTCCTTCAGAAGATGAATCTCGTCATTGGAAACGAAATTCGAAGTTCGTCACTGGGGACAAAGATTCTTCATAAGATGAAACTAATCATTAAAGACGAAGCTCGGCATTGGAGACAAATATCCTCTAGAAAATGAAGCCCATTCAAGAGGCGAAGTTCATCCAGAGACGAACCTCGCCAAGCAACAAAGACTCGCTCCAGAAGACAAGGTTCAACACATAGTCAGGCTCGATCATCAAAGACAAACCTCACCACGCGGTGAGGCCTGTCTCATCAGACGAACCTCATCATGCAACGAGGCACGTCTCATCAGTCGAACCTCGTCATGCAGTGAGGCTCGTCTCATCAGACGAACCTCGCCACACAACGAGGCTCGTCTCACCAAATAGGGCTCGACGCCAGGAGGCTAATGGCCATGAAGACCCAGTCAACCCACGTGTGCTTAATTCAAGGAGTCAGTTACGCTCCTGATTCCATGATTTTAGCATCAGTTACGTACTGAACGTTTATAAATAGCCATGAGCAGCTATGAAAGAGGAACTACCTACACTCTTTTGGAGATCCGAGCATCAGATCTTGAGACCCAAGAGTTAGACGCACGAGAATTAAGTTCGGCACGAGCATCGAGCGAGGCATCTCATCGCCACATCGAATCCACGTTAAACAAAGGAGAAGTCGAATCAATCTTCTCATCTTCTGTACTTGAAAAAGAACGACTGTAAAAAAAGATTCTTACCAAGCGATATAATCCATTCTTACAACCAAGCAATTGAAGAACCAGTTGTATCGTTTTTTTTAAGACCCTACAGCGTTCAACGTCAAACGTGGGGGAGCTTGGCCAACTTGGGATGGGGGATAGAGAGTTACAGTTACATTAAAGTCCTAACCCTCTACCACGTCATTAATGGTTGTCCCAACTTAGCAAAAAAAACTCAAATTAAATGGTCACGCGACAAGCATGTGATGGAATCTCGTCGGAAAATTGGCCGACGATTAAAAAAAAAATTAAAAAATAGACCCGCTCGGCAATCTGGATTTTTTTTTCTTCACCCACAGTAATACTGTTTGTCTTTTCTCATCAAGTTCGTCCAAAATCCCAACTAAATTGTTCACGCACGCGCATGTCACGTGCTCAAGTAAAAGCCATGCCGCTCCAGCGCGCCGCCCCCCACCCCCATACTTCTTCGCATCAGATTGAGCCAGCAAAAAAGCTCCACAACGGCGAAGTGAAACAAAAAGAGGAGAGGGTAGGGTTAACGCAGTCGAGATACAGACCCCCCCCTCCCCTCTTCTTTTTTGCCCCTAAAACCCTTTCCGCTTCTACTCTAAAATCTCCCCCCCCCCCCCCCCTCCCCCCTTCCGCCGTCTATCTCTAGGGTTTCCCAATGGGCGTCGAACAAGGCGGGGACTCACCATCTCCCATCGAAGGAGGCCAATCTTTTCAAAGTCATCGTCGTGAGTCCCCTCTCCTCTCCTCTTCTTCAATCGGATTGATGCGCTGATTTCAATTTCTTACGTATGTCGCGTGTCTTGATTTCTGGCTTTCTGATTTTTGATTTTTGAATTTTTTTATTTTTTTATTTTTTACAGAAATCTTACGAGACCAAGCAGTATAAGAAGGGATTGAAGTCCGCGGACGCGATATTGAAGAAGTTCCCTGAGCATGGAGGTACTTTTAGATGAGTAATCGATTGGGGTTTTGCCCTGTCTTGCGAAGATCGTAGCTTTACGCAATGGCTGTTGTTTTGGCTCTAATGCGTATCCCGATGGATGAAAGTGCTGCCTTTTATGGTTCTCTTTTGTTAGACGTGACTACTTTTTTTTTACCCGTACGATTCGTAGAATCGTAGGTCATAGTGCTATAACGTCGTTGTATTCATGAAGACGTGTAAAGGAATCATTAGTGTGGGCAGGGTAGAAGGTTTACAATTTATGTTAAAACACAGGAAGAGAGAGAGTAGAATAATTAGTAACGGGGAAGATAAAAAAAAATTTGTGTGTCTAATTAAGTGTCCAGTGTTGCAATAGAATAAGAATCCTATCAGAACCACCCGGTAGGAGTACGCTGGTTTTGACCATAAAGATAAACGCTAAATTTCCCAGTCTCACTTTCTAACCACCCATGAATTACATATCCCCCTATCCTGTGCGGGGTTCTGATAGAATTCTTAGTTGTTGCGATGTGCAACCAATGGCGGTTGTTTTATTAGCACAATATAGATAGATTTGGACTAGAGAATTCATCAAACTATAAGTGATTAGTTACTTACTGCCCATTTCTCTGATTATACCAATTGAATTTGTATGTGACATTTCTTTTTTACTGTTAAATTGTATTGCTTCTGTTGTCTGATAATGTCTGCTGTTGGCTTTTGTTATTTTGCTATTAGAAACATTGTCGATGAAGGGATTGATATTGAATTGTATGGATCGAAAACCTGAAGCTTATGAACTGGTTCGACGCGGCCTCAAGGTTAGCTATGTACATGGAATGATCTCATACTTATTCTGTTTTTCATAATCCGTAACTCAGTTTTGCCTTGTCTACAGCGATGGTCAAAGAAAACCATGGTTGAGAGGGAATTCACCATAAAATATAGATGATCATTTAGGGGCAGCAATGCATTTGTGTTTAATTATGCAATGTTTAAGCTCACACATTAGAAAGCAACTTTCAAAACTTTGCCTATTAGAGAACCTAGAAGGGAGAAGGTGGTAACATTGAGGCACACTATGAGCTAAATAGCCAAGAGGCGCAATTTGAGCTTAATAAGCAAGACACATATTCTTTTTCCTACTGTATTTTGATTTATTTCTGTTGTTCCTGTGCAGAATGACCTTAAAAGTCATGTATGTTGGCATGTATATGGCCTTCTCTACCGGTCAGATAGAGAGTATAGGGAAGCTATTAAATGCTACAGAAATGCTTTGAGAATTGATCCGGACAACATTGAAATTTTACGGGACTTATCACTATTACAGGTATATTGATCAATGTCATATCTTTCTACTTCTTGTTTGTTATTAGTTTTTTCTCAAATTTATAACTAATCATATACTGCCATTAACACATTATTAAACTAAATTCTCTCTCTCATGAGTCATTATAGTCTTTTTTTTAACAGAGTTAGTTAATTTATCTTATGTTCAATCATGTCTTCATAGAATATTTTGCAGGTGTGATTCATATCACTTTCTTGCTTTTCTAGAAGAGTAACCAAGTTTTCGCTATTTTATTATCTCTGTTGTTTTAAATATAGATTGAACATGCATCAGCTTTTTTATCTACGACATTTTATTTCACAAGTCTTCATATCTGAGTTTTCATGCAGTTAATGATTGCTGGGCAACAGAATGTTTCCTTTTTGAGATAAAGGATAAATTAATTGAATTTCTGATTGCTCTTTCTTCATGCACTCTGTGATTGCAGAGGACTTTTCTTTTGAAATACATGCACAGTATTAAATGAATGATTATTTACTTTCTCTATTGTCTCATCTTTGCATAAAGTTTTGGCTTGTATTCTTCACAAGTGCTGTTGGATTTTTCACTTGAGAGTATAACCAACAAGTCAAAAGCTAATGAAATTGTGCACATCTCAGTTATTTTGTCTCTCAAAGTTCCTTTACTCCATATTTCAGGCACAAATGCGGGATTTGACAGGATTTGTTGAAACTAGACAACAACTTTTAACACTAAAACCAAATCATCGAATGAATTGGATTGGCTTTGCTGTTTCCCATCACTTGAATTCCAAGTAAGCTTTTATTTGATGACTTAAATCTGAATGAATGTGTAGGAAACTCTTTCTTCTGCTTCTCTTTACAAATTCATGTAAGGGTTTGCTACAAAATCTGTCAGGATGCTAGACAGAGACTAGAAAGGCCTTCTTTACTCTTTCAAACATGGATTAAACCTTTAAATGCCCTAGTCAGGAGAGTATATGCGCAGGGTTTGGTATAGAAAACTGCATATCTCTAAAGCTTGAGTCTAAAAGTCTATAGTTAACTACTCTGGGGTGGTGTTAGAGATTATATTTATCTGTCTTTGTGTAAGCTTAAGGAAGATCTTTTGATGTGGGACAATATACTGGCTATATACCCATTCAATATTCTGACTATGCCAATTCTTTTGGGTTGACTATGCTGGAAAGATAGAGACAATGTTGAAATACATTAATGCTTATTCTAGATAGATTTTGTTTTCTCTTAGAAGCAGAAGACATCATAAATCAAGTAGTATGTAAAACAATAATTGCAAAAGAACTTGTTAATTCTACAATGATATGCTCGTGAGAATGGTTGTGAGGCAAAATGTGTTACATTTGTGATTTGTGCAAAACCAGTGCCAACTGCTTAAGATAAGTAGTTGCCTAATATTTCACAGTTTCTCGGAGTACTTTCTTTTGCATGCCACAAATTCAAGAAATTCTTGGCAGTATTTTCATTCTGAAAGGCTCCATCTTTGTTTTTCTGGTATAACGTAGTCAATTATTTACCCAGCACATGTATGTTGTAGTTGTTCAAAGGCAATAGATATTTTGGAGGCTTATGAAGGTACATTGGAAGATGATTATCCTCCAGAAAGTGAGCGATATGAGCATGGAGAAATGCTATTATACAAGGTAACATGCTGCACTATCCTCTCAATTGTTACTTTATAACTTTGCTGTATTGAGGAATTTCTTTTTCTAAATCTTTTGCATCTTACTAGATAAGTAGTCTACCATATTCAATATGCATTTACATTCTAGCAGAAGCTATATGCAGTATTTATAATTTAACAGAACAGTTAGCTGGTAACTGACCTTAATGGAGAATGATTTAGGATGAAGAAGTTTATGTTGTTCTTATTGTTCTGAAGGTAGTAATACTCCGTATGAACCAGAAAAGACTTAGACCATGGTCGTTGTGTTGATATTTTGTCCATCAGGAGTTGATGCTAAAAAAATTCTACAAGATCTTTCACGTATCAAAGATATATCATATGTCATATAACAACAACATTGCAGTACGTTGTCCAGATAAATTGTGTAGGATCTACATGTTGATGACCCTACATCGAGGAAGAATAGAAATGGTAAATCATAATGACACTGAAGTATCATCAAGTTGGAAGACCACTTTTCTCTGATAGTCTGATCATGATTTTAAATATCGGCCGATAGTTCGATATTATCACCAAGTTATCGGATTTGGGAGCTTTTCGCTAGGATAAGTAGGATTTTTAATCGGTTATCGTTTTTATGGGTTTATCAACGATAAAGGCATTTATCGGCCGATAAGGGAGGCTGAAAATATCGGCTTTATTGGCGTGAGTTTTGAGTTGAATTGTTGGGTAATGAGCGGTTACTTAGTAAGTTCTTAAACCCGGTCCGACTCGTCTTTGACAATAAAATAAAGTTTCTAACTTCAAGTTCAGCCCTAATCTTTCGTGAATCTCTCTCCCTCTCTGTACGGCTGTTCTCCGAGCCTCCGAGCCTCTTCGAACTCCATCGAGCTCAAGATCTCTTTTCCCCTCTAACTTTGTTGACCTCGTCACTCGCCTCCCCGACCTCGAAGCTCATGTCTGCTGACATCGCTCGCCTCCCCGACCTCAAAGTTCACCTCTGCCAACGTTGCTCTCCTCCCCGACCTCAAAGCTCACCTTCGCTGAAGTCACTCGCCTCCCTGACCTCGCAGCTCAACTCCATTGACGTCGATTGCCTCTCCGACATCGCAGCTCAACTCCGCTGACGTCGATTGCCTACCTGACCTCGGAGCTCACCTCCGTTGACATCGCTCACCTCCTCGACCTCGAAGCTCACCTCCGAGCCTCTTTTAAACATGATTATTTACATTTTGGTATGTTTATATTTCATTAAGCATGGTTAGATCACATTTTTTGGTTATTATATTATATATATACACCATCCAATATATCACTCCGATAAATATTACTTATCCCCGATATATCCCGATTTTCGCTATCTGATAAGGATTTTGACTGTCCGATAAATCCCCGATAACCGATATTTAAAACCTTGAGTCTGATGAGTGAAATCAAGATTTTTTTAACTTTTAAATTTAAGGAAATTGTTATTAAATGTGATATTCTTCTAATGCATCTTGCATCTGCAAGCAAGGTTACTTTAGATGTGAAATCTTCCGGCGAAAAAAAAGATCAGTCAAAAAACACCATCAAAATGATCCATACCCTTTAAAACGTTCACATGCTAATTTTCATTAGCAAGAAGTTGCTTAGCAAAGTTGTAATGTGCAATTTTCTTTGTAACATATTGTTTATTAGCAGATGAACTACTGGGTATACATCTTTGTGGAAATGCCTATGGTTTATGCTTGAACCTAACGCTTCATGTTCACACTTACCAGAATTCACTTTTTAAGCTTCCTTGGTTGATGTTTTATCCTAACACTTGCACTTCAAATCTGGATTGGTGTAGGCATCTTGAAGACTGATATATTCCAACCTCAAAGATCTAAATCTATACCATCAACATTAAAAATGTTTTTAGAAGTCTTCCTTTGTCATATATATTTTCTTTTAGGTGAAATTTGAACATGAAAGGATTCTTTTCAAAAGGTTTTTATACATGAGCTCACACACAAAGAAGGACACTCTTCTGACTTGTCAAATACAATTTTAAATGCTAGAAATACTTTTTATGCTCATTTGAGAAATATGCTCATTTGAGAAAGTAATTTGATTAAACAAAATAATACTAATTATAGTTCGAAGAAACAATTAAAGTGTGGTGAGAATATATATTACTTAAAAAAATAGCTGGTAAGCTATTGGTACCAAACCATGAATCAACCTGCACAAATTACTATATTGTAAAATTATGTGGAAAGTTGTTCTGTCCGTTCTCAATTTCCACTCCTGACAAAATCAGCAATTTACTTCTTGGGATCCAAATTATGATATGTCTTCTCCGGGATACACTTGTTGGCCTGCAGCTGTTTCATAAATCCTATCCTCTTAGCGTCTGAAAATGTTGCTCTTACTTCACATAGATAATAGGAGTGACCTTTGGAGGCATAATCAGAACTGTTATCCTTTAATAGACTAGGCCCATCCCTTGCTGATGCTGCACTGATACTAAACTATGTATTTATAATTTGGTGTATAATTTTGTTTGTTGTTGCAGTTTCAATTTGTGGGATATCCTTATTTCTATTAGAAGGTTGACACTTCATTCACGAACATTTGGAACATCTAGTCTTATTTTCGTTGATGTTTGTGCTTTACTTTGATATAGTATTCAATTTTTGATCGCTGTACAAAAAGCCGTCTTCCATTGTTTATAAAGAATTTATGTGCAGATATCTTTGCTTGAGGAATGTGGATTGCTTGACAGAGCACTTGAAGAAATGTACAAGAAAGAGGCCAAAATTGTAAGTGTTTTAAACCATATTTAGTGGTTGGTAGAAATTTAATGGGAAATAAACTGCAAATGCAGAAAATGATATACTTCATTTGGATCTGAAGAACATATTCTTGTCATCTTATTGTGGCTGCAACTGCATATTCTTAAAGTAGAAACCATTTTATTACTGATATACTTGTCCTTTTTTGAATTATTTATGCTGTAAATCAGTAAATGTGTTATGCTGTAGATAACCTTGTTAATTTCTTTTCAGGTTGACAAACTGGCATTTAAAGAACAAATGGCTTCAATACTTGTGAACCTTGGCCGGCTCGACGAGGGCGAGAAAATATACAGGGCATTGCTTCTGATGAATTCTGACAATTATGAGTATGTTCTGATCCTCTACACTGTTATACATATCTTGTCTAAAAGCAAAGGGATAAAATGCATAAGTTTTTCCTGGGTTTTTAGTATAAATAATGTCTTCAAGATTTTCTCGATGCACATGAGAATATGCTGCAGCATGTTTATCGAACTGATCGTTGAAAATGGTAGATAGTTAGGACTCAGAGGTATTGATTGTTTCTTGTGGACATCATTTTTAGTGTGCAGTAATTTGGTCATTCTTCCTGAAGGATTTCATTCCATGTCTTCACTTCTCAGCTAAGTTTTTGAATACTCACAGATCCGACATGTCAGTGACCATGTTATAAATGGTATTGCAGTCTTCACATAAAAACTCTATTCAGGGAAACATGTATCATCAATTGCTTTGTACTTATGGATTTTGAACATCTATTCAGGTTAACATGTGCTATCACTCGCTCTGCCGATGTGGTATTAGAACATTTACCTTTTGTCTGATAACTATTGAATCATGACTCCTTTTGTGGAAGTTAGAAGGAGTGCTGTCTGTCACACACTTAGGCTTCTGTGTGATAAGGCATGAGGACTGTGAAGTTCAATGTCATCACCTCACACTTTCTGTGGTTCAATGGGTGTGGTTGGCTACCTAAAGCAGGTGCGTACATTGTTCTGGATTGAACCACAAAGTGCTTGTGTACCCTTTTGTTAAAGGGTCCAACTTGGATGACTGTCCCTATCAATAATTTAATCCTATCACTGTATATGTTGGAAATGTTCAATTTCTTTTGGGTTCTCAACTCATCGTTCTGTCACTTCATTTCCATAGTTGTCAGTTGCCTATCCTGGATAACAACGAGCATCTGAACGACTATCTTAAGTTTTTTTTGGAAAATTTTAATGTACATAGTTGAATTTCAACTGTCAAGGTATTTTGTTTTGTTCTTTCATTTCTCCTATTCTAGTTGTATCTATCTTAATTCTTGTCATCGTTGTTAGTTTTTTCCCCCATCCTCTTTAACTTCCTTCTCTTCTTCGTTTTTCTGCTTCTCCGGTTTTTAAACCCATCCTTTGGGGCTTCCATAGTGGTAGTCTGGTAGACATCCTCTTTCCATTGAAGACAATGGGCCCTTAAAGACATTAATTTTGCAAGTACAGAAGATAAAAAATCACATATCACAGCTTGTAAAAAGGTTACGTTTTGCTACCATAGTACAAGAAGATAAGACTAGTAGCTGAGACACATACTCTTGTCAATCAATTATTTAAAAGGCATAGCATGATTGGCAGTTATGCCATTATTCCAACCAAATAGAGATGATATGTTTTCAGGTTAAACACAGATAGGATATGACAGCAGCAATATTTCCACTGAAGGCTCAAGCTTTTGTGTGGGAACAAAATGTGCTAGTATTTCCACATGCTTTGTGAAGGTTTTTGATATCTCAAGCACAGAGTTTTAATAGAAAAGGCAATATCTGTGTTATTTTTTATATGCACTTTATTTATTTGTGCATTTATATTACATCAATCTAGTCTGTCCCATGAAGGCAGACTGACAGACTCTGGTGTGTTTTGTCAACGGCTGCTGGAAAATGGTGCAGAGAGAAGGTGGCACGACTCTGTCTCTCTCAAAGGGGGGGGGGGGGGGAATAGGAAGAATTATTGCCCGTTATTCTGTGGAGACCTTCTCAAAATGTACCTGGAATATGTTTAATGTTTTAGAAAGTGCTAGGCAGTTCTAGGCGCTGGATCAAGTGCCTAGCTTCCATGTGCCTAGGTGGGTGCTTAAGCATCATGTAGTTGTTTTTAGCATCGAGAGGAAGGATTGTTTTCAATGATTCAAAATTCTATCCTCATCATTTGCCTAAGATGGATTTGGACATAGATTTTTTATCCAATCCATTTTGACTTGGTCTGTTGTCTTCATCCATTATGATTAAGCGAGTATTATACCCCTTTTTGATCCGGCGCGGTCCACGTAAGTAGCCCATGTTCCCCTAGGTGCTCCCAAGTCCTAGGTATACGTCCTAAGTACTGCTTAGGCCTAGGAGGATGCCCAGACCATTTTGTAAAACAATGCTTATGTTTGAAATTTATTTTTATATGTTTATATCCATTATTATATACTATAATGGCGTTTTTAGGTTTCTCTGCTCCTTTGCATACAATTATCTGGCCGAAAAATTGAGGCGCGCGCACTCGGGTCACTTGTTGACTTGGTTTTGGTTGTCACTGGTCTACAATGCATTTACTAGTTTTGCCGTTTTGGAGTTTGTGTCTCCAAAAATTCCAAGCAATCAGTGAAGAAATTTTTATTTGGTAAACTCTGAATAGTATGTGATCATAAACTTTACATAATTGATCAATCTTTTGAAACACATTCTGAGTTCTGCTAACTTTAATCCTGATGATTCCTACCTCGCCATGGTGTTGATAAAATGGATATAAGAAGTAAGAATGCATGGGCAAAAAGCTAATCAGTCTAATGGAAGAGTGTCAGCTATTTGTTTCTGCAACAATTTGGTTTATACACTGAAAATTCTTGATTTTATTTTGAAGCTTTGACTGTTTTACGTGTTGTTGACTCCATTTGCTGTATATTTTCAGGTATCTTAGAGGCTTACAAAAATGCTTAGGGCTTTACTCTGAGAAAGGTCAATATACATCCGATGAAATTGATCGTTTAGATGCATTATACAAATCACTTAGGGAGCAATACAGTTGGTCATCTGCTGTGAAGGTAAACTGATGTCTATCCATTTTTACTTGTAATCGTAGCAGTATGATAGAAGTATGGCACTCTTCCTTTTACTGCGGGTCTAATTAATACGTTTCAAATTGTGTTTCTAGACATGGTGTTGCCTTTTCTTTTATACAACCATACACTTAACAACTTACAGAATATTACTGATCCATTGTAAATCTGGCGCTGTGCCATTATTATGATTTTATTGATTTTCTTTGACCATCCTATTCCTTTACTTCAATCACTCCCTGTCGTCTTTAAATTTTTAGTAACTATAAATTATTGTCAAATGCAAAGTCAATAGTAACATGCATTTTGAAGAATTTTGAATTGAACGAGCTAAGTCTTTCCTTTACATTTTTCAAGTGATGCATCATGCATGTGCTGTTAGTTTGTTTTGACAGCTGGATGAGATCAGTGGTTGTCCTCTTTTATGTCACTTTTCATGTATCTTCATGTTTATTTATTATTTTCTTCAATTGTTCTCAAGTTCACATCACCTTTATGGTAAGAAGACTACCGAGGCAATAAAGTGTGTTTTCCCCTGCCTTCTCAACTCTGTTGATTTTCTACTTTTTCTCATCCTTCCCCACCTTCCTCTGATTGATTTCTATTCTTTGAAGTAGCTAGGAGTAACACTGTAACTTCCTATGTAGCCTGTTGTAACATGGCAAAGAAGGTATAAGGCTTTTATAGATTGAATGCATAGCGTTAATTTTGAGTTGTCATGAGCTTGTAGTTATTACTCTATACATATGAACTAGGTTCAAGTTTTCATAATTTTTGGGATTTTCAAACATATAATTGTATATGAAAATATTAAAAGAAGTCCATGTAATCCTGTGTATGTCAATTATGTGGCTTAACATCATGCGGTGCCCGAACTGCATGCATAACGGGTGTGTTTTACAACATCGCTGTAAGTAGCTAGATCATGCTCTCCTGTAAATAATTATATCATTTCAAATCTTCAAATTTTATATTTAGGTTATGTGGATTGTTTCTACATTTTGGATCATTCAAAACTTAAGATAGAAAGCTCATTAAATAATGTAAAAACTTCTAATTTGTATGTGTTTACCATCACAGAATATCTGCATGTATTAGACCATGCCTATATTTTTCTGAATGAGAATCAGTTCAACATTCAGATCGTAAGTATTTTATGTTCTGTCACGATTGAAAATATAATGGACATAAGATTACAGTCTGTTCCAAGTCATACTGGAAGAATCATGAAGTCCTCTGTTTGTGGTGTATTTACAATAGTACTGTTGAAGACTTCTGTTGAAAAGATAGTACATAATCTTTTAGGCTATTGTCCACAGCCTTTTATTTCTTTCCACTTGGATGTCTCTATCATGCTTATGAGCACCCGGTTATGTATTTATTTCTTTGTGGTTTCACTCTGTTGTTTATGTATGCCGTACAGCGGATACCTCTTGATTTTCTGCAAGGTGAAAAGTTCCAAGAGGCAGCAGAAAATTACATTAGGCCTCTTCTCACAAAGGTATTTTGCAATGTTATTTTGTTTGCTAATGCTTGGATTCTATCTGCATACCATGTATTTGTCACTGACCCATTAAGATTACTCTTCCATCTGACAGTTTATCCTCCTTTCTTGTTCAGGGAGTTCCTTCTTTGTTTTCTGATCTTAGCCCTTTGTATGACCATCCTGGCAAGGTTTTCCAAATTGCTTTCTCCATTTATATCTGAAATCATTGATTACTGACTTCGTGCAAAAAGACTGATTTTTTTTGCTTGAATCATTTGACAGGCGTGCATTCTTGAGCAGTTATTTCTTCAGCTAGAGAATTCAGTTAGAACAACAGGGGGCTTTATGGGAAGGTAATTCAGTGCATTCTGTTCTTGTACAATATCTTAGAATTGTTGTGAACTTCATGTTTGCATTAACTTTGCTCATAAACTGCTCCCGCTAATTGAATGGTCAAACAATATACAGCGCAATTATGTCCTAAGTTTCTTTCTGATGACAATAGAGCCAAATACCCTTTCAATGTATATTTATACCCTGCAACATTTTTTTCACAAGGAGCACATGTTTTCAGAGACAATATGCCTTCAACCTCCACTTGCATCAGAGTATAGTTTTTAGCGGTTGGGTAATACCAAGTTAAGCCAAAAGCTTAAATTGACTCCGAAATACGTTGATCCGAAACTTTTATTCAACTTCAGATTGTGATCCGCAAAAGGCATAGCTAGTGTTCCATATGCTGGAAATGGATCATCTCTGTGAGACGATGTGCACAACTATGCATCCGTTAAAATAGGATGTGTATCTAATTACATAAATACAATTAATGTATAGTATCTGGGGTCATATATTTTCAGGAATATACCCTTAGAAAGGTCTCGAATTATAGAAAAGTAGAAAACATTCACGAAAGTCAAAAACCCAAAATCAAAAGAAATTTTAGAAAGAAAGAAGTGTTGGTGACAAAGAACATAAGGAGGGGGTAGAGGGGTTGGGGTTTTGTTCAATTAATAACACTAGTTGCAAATGGAGGAGACCTCATGGACAACCACTATCAACATGACTAAAAGACCCTGCAATGGGGACGATGTGCCGTTGGCTACTCCTTCACTAGCCACTCACTGTTGGGCCGAAGGAGAGAACCTGTCCTGAAACAGCTGTAACACCGATTATTTTCCAGATCACATGTTTGAATCATGAAGAAGCATATGCATAAAATACATTTACTGAAATGAAAATGCTTAGAGACGAATGAGTCATCAATTGAGGCTGTAAAAATCGAGATTTGTGGTTGCTAATTTTGCTTAGTTGATTAGTTGATGGTCAGTAATGGAGCTGAATAACAAAAACAAGTCTCATTTGTTGACTAGAAAGGATTGTGATGTGTTGTTTCTTATCTGAAACCTGTTGCTACATGTTTAGTTAAGTCAGCGCATACTGGCTGTTGCAAACCAATGCCTATGCATGCTTCTCTTTGTTAACATTATCTGAAACCTGTTGCTACATGTTTAGTTAAGTCAGCGCATACTGGCTGTTGCAAACCAATGCCTATGTTTAGTTAAGTCAGCGCATACTGGCTGTTGCAAACCAATGCCTATGCATGCTTCTCTTTGTTAACATTTCTGGGTCAGTGTTGGATTGATCTCAAATTGGTTCTAGTACTTGGAACTTGCTGCAGCGTATAATTGTTAATGCATGCTTCAGCCATGTTTAATCAGTGTCTTATTTACACTTGACCTAATGATCTGTATAGTACAGCAACAACAACAACAATGACAACGACGATGAAGCCTTTACCCAAATATTTGGGTCCTAATGTCTGCATGTAGGATTTTCTTCTTCGAAGATTTATAATCCTGACTCTTTGTTCTTTGTAACACATAAATTGGTCACCAATGATTGGTCCAGATTGATGAACTGATCTAAATCTTAAATTACAGATCAGAAAAAGAGCCTCCCTCTACACTTATGTGGATAATGCTTTTGATATCCCAGGTTTGCATAGTCTTCTTGGATCTCTTTCGATTTTCTGCAAAACTTTTTAGTTCATTTAGCCTAATGATTACTGATTAGACAATCTTTGATGCTGCAGCATTATGACAGGCGGGGCCAGCATGATATTGCGCTAGCTAAAATTGATGAGGCTATTGAACACACTCCAACTGTTATCGATTTGTATTCTACCAAGGTTTATGGCATTTTCCTTTGAAGTCAAATTTTTACATTTTTAAATTCTGGAACTGTAATTGTGCTACTTCATTTTCAATTTTCCTTCGAGCAGGACTTATCAGCAATTTTTTTATACCATTGCTACTATGTCTTGTTATTCTTGGCTATTATAGATTCCCTAAATGTACTACTAACGGCATTAGCCGCTGAACAGTAGTGATAAGCCATACGTGTGGATGCGTATACCATTTTTCTTCTGATGGCTGAACTTGTTAGCGCTTCTCGCGTTCTTTTCTTATTGATATTTACATGTTTTCAGACACAAACATATTTTCTTCCTTCTGTTGAACACAATGTTGAATTCAACCCAATGTTGAAAATAATGATAATGCATAATGTAACGTTCGCCTCCTGATAACGTAAAACGCAAAGTAACGTAATATATAACATAGGTTACATGTTTTAATTATTATTAATTAAGTATTTAAGAAAAATAGTCACAATTATGTAATACATAAAAAAATATTCACAATGATTTAATAAATTGAACCAATCACAGTTTTCAAATATAACATTACAATTGTCAATGATCTCATCACAATTTCTCAATAAACATTAATGGTTAACAAGCAATCCAAAAGCACATGCACTTCACTTTATTTAAAAAAATAAAAATCAAAGATAACACGACCTAAGTCCTAAGCAATGTTGAAATATATGATAATGTATAACTTAAGGTCTCTTGATGGCTTAGAGCATAATGTATGATGTAGTTTACATATTTTCTCATTATTTAATTTAATAATTAAAAGATGTTCATAGTAAGAAATTAGGAAAAGAATATCAAAATACAAAAAATAATTTAACAAAAGAATTTTCAATTTAACAAACTATGCATATTTACCCACAAGTGTCGCAATAGAATATTCAAATATATAACCACAATTTACGTCTTGTTTATAATTTTACATTCATTTTATCAGACACATTCATAATTTCACAATTACATATAATGATGTCATAACTTGACAGACAATTTGAATGTAATTACTTAATTACGTCAAGTTTTAAGAAAGAAAATACTCTCATGCTTCTATGGTAACTTAGATTGAAATGATGTAAGTTATATTGAAATAACAAATGTTAAATTGAAACAACGTATGTTACATTAAAGTAATACATGTTACTTTGTAATGACGTAGAGTTATAATGTTCCTAGTTATTTTAAAAGGTTACATAATGTTTAAGGTGTGTTAGATTACATAATGCGACATAACGAGTAATGTAATGCATTCTTTTTCAACAGTGGTTCAACCGCTGGTTATTTTCTGACTTCTTAGTCTTGCTCTCTTTGTATGGTTACTTTTGTTCCTTCACATTATGTTCTGTCATTCATCATATAGCCGCAAAAGCCATTCTCATGGTTCATTTCTTAATTCTGCAATTATGTTATATCATTAAAATCTTTGACCTGCATGTGATTTTATTTTCGATTATCATAGAATAAATAGGTTCTGAAGTTGCACATATTTTCAATGTATAATCTCCTTTATTAGAGAAGAACATAGTTTCTGTTACTTGTAATATATCACATTTGAGGATTCTTTTATTTCTGTGGAAAAAGTGCCAGTCTAATTCTACATAGAATTCAGGTTCCTTAATTTTAGTCACAATGCATGTAAGGTGAACTCCTTTTCCCAGCAGAGCATTGAATCGATAAATTTTTGGAGACCAAGGAACAATGGTTTTTTATCCTTTTCATGGGAGAAGAGGTGTACAGTATAAATTGTTTCATTAAGAGGACGCGTCAACTAGATATAGTAACTCTTGATGTATGCTTCTTGGTTGAATGGATATAGACTTCATGGCTTATTAGGTTTGTTTTCCTATGGGCACACTGACCTTCTATGATCAAAGGCAAGGAATTTGACAGTACTTTAGAGGTCCTAAGGTGGACGGCTGGCTGTAAATGTTTTTACTCAAATCTTTCACAAAGCCTTTTGCTCCATAGGCGAGTCCGTTTTAATGGGAAATTATGAAGTCTGAAGTTTATATTTATGATTTGCTAAAGTGCTGAATTAGAATAATCAAACATGTTTCATAATGTTAGAAAATTTTGATGTGCTCACGGGCTATCCTAAAGTTGCAAGGTATTTCATATTATACTACTTGTTTTGGGATTTGAACATTATGAAGTACCACCTAGTTCTGTTTTCGGTTCATAGCTCTACAACTGTACCATATGTTCTAAAAATGGTGAATCTTTTGCTGGCTCATTAGATACATGGATTTTGTAGTTTTACATGGAGGAGCAGCCCGGATATGCCAATGCTGTAACTCAAAATCTCATTAAATTTTGACACCCTGCATTGCTTGGAACCTCTGCAAAAAATTCAGTACTTACAGATTCACAGCCGCATATTCACTTCAAACAGTTTTTAGCTCATTAAATTTGTCAATAGGTTTTGTTCAGAACTTATGATACTTTTGAATCTTTCAAGAAGCAGCTGACCGATTGGATTCATTGCATTTAGCTTGAGTAGTTTACAAATTGCAGGCGCACTCTCTTCAAGCAACTTTTTGCTTGTTAAATTCATCAATAAGTTATGTTTAAAACTTATGATGGTTCGAAATCTTTCCACAAACAGCCGACCAATTTCTTCTGCACATTGGATTCTCACTTTATTTTGAGTAGTTTGTTATATGGGAACTGTGCTGGGATTCGCAGCTTTGCCTAGCGTTCTTCTATTCATTTATGCCACATGATTGAGAAGAAGCGCTGTATAGAATAGCGTATATAATGAAAATAAGAAAAAATGTAGCAGTTAAGCTTGCAAAGTTTAACCACACATATCTTTCTTCGGAATACATGGATTTGAAGGGAAAGAATTCAGTTTCCTTTGTGGAATGTGCTATTTCTTAGTCTAGGATCAGGTTGGCATTCTTTTATATTTAATTGCCAAAATTGGTTCCAGTCAATTTATTAACTGGTCATTGTTTCTAGTGGAGAAGTTAGTATAAGATTCTAGTTCAGTTAATTTTCCCATTCAGCAAACAGCTTTGTTAGCAAAGAGATTACACTTGATGGCATCATAATTCAGGATGTACATTTCCTTTTCTGCTGGTAAAAATGAAAAATGAGAAGACAATAAACTTGGAAAATCAGCCGAGATCTGGCTCTTAAAGTTTAATACAGAATTCCACCCCCCCCCCCCCCCCCCCCCCCCGGCCCACACCGGCCCCCCCACCCTCCCCCCCCACCCCCCCCCCCCCCCCAAAAAAAAGAAAAAAAAAAGCGTCAAACCCGCCTTCCCAGCAAAAAAAAGAAAAAGAAAACAACCTCCACACACGAAAATCTACACAGATCAGAGAGGCAGAGGTAGAGTATTTCAGTTTGAATTTACTATTCTTGCTAGACTTGGTTTATGCTTCCATCGAGAACAACACCTGCATGCTTTGTCTTTTAATTATTAGTGACTCCTTTAATTGAACTGCAATTCATTTGATTATTCTTATCAACCTGCTCCACCACATTATTTTCCTTATTCTTGTAAACTTCACCTTTCAACTAACATTTTGTAGATCTTACTGCTGCACAAACTCTGAGGCCCTAATAGTGTTGCTTTAAAGATAGGAATATGTGCATTAGCATGTAAAGTAGGAGTAAGATGCAATCTTGTCCCTTATAGGAGCAAGGTCTCACTAATAGTTTCCTTATCTTCATCTCTTTTACTTGTACAACTTAGTTAACTTGCATTTAATTGAGGTATATTTGGTTCTCTACATGTTTTTCTCCTTCTATTGGTGGATATAATTTATCATAGGTTGGTGCATCAGCAGTTCTACTTCTGGTTTTAAGAAATGCAAATAGATCACAGGCAATAGTGGCATGTAAATATAACATTTTATGCTTTTGGTTGCAGGCAAGAATATTGAAACATGCAGGAGATTTAGCAGCAGCTGCTGCTTTGGCAGATGAGGCTAGATCTATGGATCTTGCTGACCGTTATTTGAATAGTGAGTGTGTTAAGCGCATGCTTCAGGCCGATCAGGTGACAATATATTTGTATACTGTATTTCACAAGACTTTGACCTTTGATTTTGTTTTCAGTTTATGTGAATCTAACTTCAAACTGAATTATTTAATTGGTGAAGCTGGGATTGGCTGAGAAGACTGCTGTCTTGTTCACTAAGGATGGGGATCAGCACAACAACCTCTTTGACATGCAGTGCATGTGGTTCGTTCTTGATCTTATATCTTTCAATAACTATGCATAGAGCTTCAAGTGCTCTAGCTTTTCTGATATATTTAGTTATTTGTGTTATGAGAAGGTATGAACTTGCTTCTGGTGAAAGTTACTTCCGCCAAGGTGATCTAGGGCGGGCTCTGAAAAAGTTCTTGGCTGTTGAAAAGCACTATGCGGACATGAATGAGGATCAGTTTGATTTCCACTCATATTGCTTGCGCAAAATGACCCTTCGGGCTTATGTATCCATGTTGAAGTTCCAAGATAGATTGCATTCACATCCATATTTCCATAAGGCTGCATCAGGTGCTATCAGGTGATAATTTTAAACATTCATCACAAGTTAAATGCATAAACACAAGCAACTGCCCTACCAAACTTTTTTTTGGGTACGACATGATTTTCCTTGTTTTTGGATAATAAGTTAAATCTTTTCTTCTTAACTGTCACTAGAGCTGCTGAGAGATAATCATCTTAGAAAACCAGTTTCCTTATTGAGATTCTCTTGAAATCATGAGAGTTAGTTAGCCAGCAAGGAATAATTTGTATATTATTTGGGACTATCCTGTGAGGCCTGAGGTAGAATACAATCATGGTCAATATTACTTGAACATAGGTTATTTGTCTTTTGAATTCTTTGTTTTAGAGCTTTTCTTCGAATCCAGTTGTTCATCTAGAAGATATCATTGATAATTTGGATCTTGTTGTAAATATGTTCTTTATATGCAGATGCTACTTGAAGTTACATGACTCTCCTCCAAAATCAACAGCTGAAGAGGAAGATGAAATGTCAAAGATGCCCCCATCTCAAAGGAGGAAAATGAGACAAAAGCAAAGGAAAGAAGAAGCTCGCATGAAGAAGGCAAATAGATCTTCAATTTCATGTACCTTTTCTTTGACTAGAGTATTTAGTATTTACTTGATAAATTGCAAACTTTTCAGGAGGCAGAGGAAAAAAGTGAGGTTGAAGCAAATTCTGCCGGTGCATCTAAATCTGGGAAGCGACAGAATCTGAAAGCGGTTGATTCAGATCCAAATGGGGAAAAATTGTTGCAGGTACATCATGTTTGCTCCTGGCATTATCATTGTTTTTCTACATCTACCCCCTCGTTTTTCCTGGTTTGAGATGGTTGGGAATGTTAGATGGACGCTAGTAAGTGTTCCTTATGCACGTTAGATGGTGGCTAGTAAGTATTAGGCACGGTGGATGGAGGCTGATCAGTGTTTCCTATGGGTGATGTGGGTGATGTGAGCATAGTTGGAGTAGCTAGGACTAGGCATACACAGAAGAGAGCATAACCATGGGGCTGTAGAGAGGGAAAGTTTAATCACTTGTTTTCTTCCTTTTTTCCACTTTTTATGTCCGGCTCTAGAGTTCAGACGCAGTCAACTCCCCTTTCGTAGATGTGAGGTGTACACTAGTGGTTGTTCAGACTCAATTGACTCCCTTTCGTAGATGTGAGGTGTACACTAATGGACCAACCAGAGCTGCTTGTAATTGCCTGAATCTTGTATCTCTTTTATTCTTTAAAGTTTCACATGATAGTTCTCGTGATGGTAGGAGAAAGATTTTTTTTTCCTTTTTTCTTTGTTATTAAGAAATTTTATGAGAGAAAAGTATTGAGTATATATATATATGTATATGCAGATTCATGCTTTCATGTTACTTTATTGCAGGTTGAAGATCCATTATCTGAAGCTACAAAGTACTTGAAGCTTCTTCAAAATAACTCAGCGAAGTCATTGGAGACGCATATATTTTCTTTTGAACTAAATATGAGAAAGCAAAAAATTTTACTTGCATTCCAGGTAATAATTTCAGTTGCTTGAGATTATTGCTCCTGTACTACAAGTAAATATATAGGATATGTCATCTAATATTAATAATTCTAAATCAATATTATTAAGTAGGTGTGTACCGTAACTCTTATCTTAAATACTCAACACTCATTGTTAGTGGATTCTATAAAAATTTAAATTTACCCTACCCTGATGGTGGAGGGTAAAAATTTATTTTGCTATATAAAAGCTGGTAAATTGGAAAAAAGAAACAAATATCTTTAAAGAGTTCTATTCCAAATAGAAAAGTAACCAGTATGGTAGCTGCATAACTCAGAAAATGATTTAAAAGGCACTACCAAAAGTGAAACCAGGTTTCGATAAGTACTCAACCCTGCATAAATGATCTTATTTTAAATATTCGACACTTACCATTCAACGCTTACCATTAATGGATGGGTACTATAAAGATTTAAAATTACCTATCCTCTTGGTGGAGGGTAAAATTTCTTTTGCTGCTTAGGCGTAAGCTGGTAGGTAAATTTAAAAAGAGAAACGAATACTCCTTTAAATTTAAAGAGTTTTATTCCAAATAAAAAAGTTACCAATATGTACGATGGGTCAGAAATAAGTGATTAAAAAGGTACATACCAAAAGTAAAACTAGGTTAGTAGGTTTTAGACAAGTACATGATCCAGTTGTTTTTCCAGGTTAGTTTTAGTGTGACCAATATATAGAAAACCTCAGCTAGATGGAAAACAGGTGTAAATCCTTTTAGCCTTCCCTACCTGTTTACATTGATGGGTGAAAATTTGTTTTTATTATACCTGTTCAAATGGCTGTTACTACATTGGGTTACTTTGATGTGGTTTTACATGATCTATTGAAGTTGTCACTTGTCAAATTGGCTTAGATATCTATATATTTTGTCATGTATGATATCTTGTTGTGTACCATAGAGCACATTGATCCATGTGAGCAGTTAAGTAATTGAGTCTTAAATAACCAAAAAAGAAATGCTAAAATCCATAGCGCATGATGAAGTTCACGAGTAAAAAAATTATTTAAATAGCAAATAAGACGATCCATGCCCCACAGCAGTAATGAGGAGAAACAGAAACTATGTTAATAGAAAAGCCTATCAGATTTCTTTTTTATTAGGGTGGGTCACTGGTTGGGTATTGTATCTATTCAAACTCTTAGCCTTCAGATAAAAAAAGAAAAGGAAAAATAGCCAACTGGATCTGTTACTAATCTGGCAAGCTATCTAAGACTAGCAAGTTAGAGACTTAAAATTTTATTTTTGTCTGGTACGTGTCATATTGGCTGTACTTTTCTGATGCTTTATGCTGATAATGTGGCTTATGTGTTGCATTATGACTCTGTCGTTACTACTTTTTCTTTTGATAGGTTCATATTGCATGGTACTTGTCAAATTGTAGGCCACACATGCCAGCATGTATGAAATAGTTCTCTACCTTTTACGTACCCATTTACATTAGCTGGTATCAGATCTTACCTTTACCCTCTCAACTGCTGTTAACAAGTAAGATTATGAATTAAGCTTGAATTCAGGATAATAGCTGAGTAAGATCAAAATGGTGATATGCTTGACCATGCTGACTGATGTTTGCAATGTGACAATGTTCACTAGCATATTGTAACTACTTATAGGTTAAGAAAATCTCTGCAATAATCTGTCGTCTTTCCCCTTTTAGGACTCTTTCTTGGTTTAGGAAAACCTTGAAGGCCTCTTCAGTTTATTGTAAGCCTTTCTAATCCATAACTTTTTTTTAAATAATTAGGTTGTTGGTTGGTTGAACATCTATGGTGAAATTTGTTAAATCATTTGTAGAGCCATGTGGATTCCTTAGCCATGTCTTTTGTTATGATAAAAGGTTTAGATGGTGATGATGGTTCTAAATTTCTAATTAGTTACTAGAAATATTTATGAGACTTGAGAAAAAATTGAGATAAAGTGCTCCTGTTCCTTAAGCAAACACCTTTGCAGCTGGTTTCCCTTTTTCTTGTGTCCCACAGTATTTAATTCCAGTGAATTGGACAGAATAATTTCTCCTTTCCAATGTTAACAGTGTTACCGTAACCTGCTGTCATTGGAATGCAAACATAAGCAACTGCTAAGATGGCTTACAAGGGGTGTACTTCATGACCCATGCATCAAGCATCTCTAGAAGCATTCTCAGACTTTATCTACCTAGGACAATCATTTCAAGAAGACATAACATCACTTATTCAATATTAAGATTCACAGGAATCAAGTGTTTGATATAAAGATGAGGAAGATGGTGAAGGTAAAGGGACAACACTTTGAAATCCATAAACATAAATTAAACACGTATCCTTGATAAATGACAAATTTTGATACCCTAGGGTTTGTTTTGAAAGTGTTTTGTTTATTGTTGTTGGAGCAACATGCTATTACATCATAAACCACATCTTTTCATTGGTTGATAAACCAGATCTGTTCATTGGTTGGTCCCGGTTGGATCTCCAATATGCAAATGGAACTCCATGATCGGTTGCAATTATTGTTGTTGCTGTTGCACTTAAACTGGGCATCGGTCCAACAACAAATTGGAATTTCTTTAAGACACCTGTAACAATAATTTTATGATTTTAGTAGAGTTCTTTTATATATTTTTCTTTTATGTTTTAATAGAGATTCTATTATATTAATGTATACAAGTTAGTTAAAACTTAAAAGTTAATAATTATTTTTTAGTGTCTGAGATATGTAATTGCAAAAACATGCCATCCAAACATAGGCTATCACCACCTAGTACTGTAATTAGAGTTGCATTGTTGGATCTACAATGGGGTTCCAACAACTATAAACCAAACACGCCCATACGTATTTGGCAATTGTATTAACAAATTGGAGACTTATGGTATGTCAAAATGCAGAGTGTGTTTGGCGAGAATGAAGCTAACAATGCATGCTTCAATGTATTACCCAATAGAACTGCCGCAGACGACCGTGACGTTATTGCAACCATTTGAAATAGCTTTAAAATTAAATAAGGAGAAAGCTCTATCTATCCCTTCTGCTACAGGGAAGTGTTCGATTAGGATATGGTATTTGTGAAAGAATCATGAGCTCTATATGCAGACTTATGTTACCTGGGAACTTCAAATCTGAAGTCGTACCCATAGCGAAACTCCTCGGACCTTCTTGAATATATGCGTACATTTATTCAAGCTTATACTTAATTATATAATACATGTTTTAATTTAATTTAAAACAATCCTCATACCTTTCTTGGACATATACTCTACACTTCACATCTATTTCTTATATATTGATCTCATCTAAATGAAAAAACACTATTCATCTTATGTAAATTATTAATTTTAATACATATAAATATAATTAGCATACATATATGTAGCCATATCCTTGTATGCTGCCTTTTACAAATTTGCCATGTCCCGTACCTTGTACCAGTACCAGTATCCATACCCCTACCCGTACCCATGCCTCTTAGATGTAGACGAATATGTCAAAATTACACATCTTGTTATTTCATATCACTCATATCTATTGATACGAAGCAGTCAACTATTATGTTGGATGTTTTCATATAGTAAAAGATATAAGCATTCACATATTCAATTCGTTTCATTGTAAAATAATTGTTTGAAAGCTTCTCTTTTACAATTCGTGCTATTACAGACAAGTTGTTATATTTTAATAATGTACGTCTCCTTTATATATTTTTTATGTTAGTAATGTGCCTCCTTATTTTTTTAGTTCAGTCATATAATTATTTCAGATAGTTAGAGTCCAAAAGCGAATTTTTTAATCAAAAATTCATAATCAAACTGGATTCAGATTCGAGGTTTTAAGTGAACATGAATAATAACATCTTATTCTGTTGCTTTTCTTTTCCGGGCTGACTTTTCTTCATTTGTGAAACCGCTAGGTGAGGTATTTTTCTTCTTTTCTTCTTTTTTCTTTTTCTTTTTCTTTTTCTTTTTCTTTCTTTTTTGTTTTTTGATAGCCTTCTTATGCTCTTTTCTTTTACGACTTCTATCATCCTATGGTTTGGAATTGTTTATATTATCTTTTCATTGCTTTGTAATATCTGTTGATATTTTTTGTTTTCTTTAGGCTGTCAAGCAACTGCTTAAATTGGATGTGGACAACCCTGACTCTCATCGTTGTTTGGTATGTCATCTCAAGCACCAATTTGCTATTCTGCATTGTTACTGTGCAATATTGAATTGATGAATATTGCTTTGTTATAATTAATTTACATTAATATTTGTTATAATTAATTTACATTAATTGATCTTTTATTCTTTTAGTTGAATCTATATGTTGTCTCTGCATCATGTTTGATTAATGGGTTGTTGGTCAGGCTAAAGAGCTTTAGTAGAAAATAACGGGAAATCACTGGATATTCTTAAATTTACAAGAAAGAAAATTGAATTTTTAATTGTAACAATTTCAAGCAATCAATTTATCATTGTTTAACAGGATTGCTAACTGGAATGTTTTTGCAAACTTAAATGTAATTGATATCTTGAAATCTAGCAATAGAATCATGTTCTGCTTGTAAAGCCTTTGTCCAAACTTCTGAAGCTCTTTCTGTCTTGTTATCACTGTTTTAAAAAACCTCCGCCTAGTCCGCTTAGGCGTACGCCTAGGCCTAGGCGGTACCTAGACTGCCTAACTAACGCCTAGCGTCTAGACGGTATTTAGGCTGCCCACCTAGATTTTACGAGCGTTTAGGGGAGCATTGTCTGCTTACGTGGATTGCACCTTGTAGGCCTTGATTGTGATTTTATGTGTCGTAGCCTACACGTCCTCCAAACTCCATTAACCTTCAAATATGAACACCTCAACTATCTCCTCCGACCTTCAGCAAAACCTCATCGACCACCACTTAAATGAAGAAAGAAAAAAACGCCCAGAAACCGCTTAGGCACCCGCCTAGGCGACTAAGCGCTGGGCGCCAAGTCCGACGCCTAGAAGCGCCCAGCGTTTAATGTAACATTGCTTGTTATAGAGTAGTTATATTGTTTTATGCTTCTTGTTCAACATTATGCTTGCATTATGTTGATGACTAATATTATCATATGTTTGTTACAGATAAGATTCTTTCATAAGGTTAGCAGCTTCTCAGCTCCAGTAACAGAGTCAGAGAAACTGGTTTGGAGTGTTCTGGAAGCAGAGAGAGCAGACATAAGGTCCGTGCACATGATGTTATTCTCTTTTATTCCGACTACATTCATTGGACAGTTAAATAGTTGTCAAGTCACTTATTTGCAGTCAATTGCATGGGAAGTCACTTGTTGAAGCCAACAAATCTTTCCTTGACAAACATGAAGGTTTGACACTTGATCTGTGCATATGGTTTAGTTGGTAGTAACAATTAAAATGTAGTTACACCATACTTCAATTGTCAGGTTCCTTGATGCATCGAGCAGCAGCTGCAGAAATGATTTATGTTCTGGAGCCACAGAGGAAGCTTGAGGCAATCAAGATAATTGAAGATTCAAAAAGCAACCTAGCACCTGGGTAAATTCCTCTCAACTAATGTTGTTTTCTAGTGGTCGTATAATTGTGTTTTATGCTCTTATGGTTCTGTACTAACTAGTCATTGACTTCTACTTTTGAAGCGATGGTATTCTGGGACAAGTCAGGGAGTGGAAACTTGCAGATTGTATTTCTGTTCACAAACTGCTTGAAACAGTCTTTGTCGATCTTGATGCTGCTTCCAGTAAGTTCTGTTCACAAACTTGTCACGAACTTCTTGAAATAGTCTTTATTGATCTTTGATGCTGCTTCAAGTAAGTTCTTCTGTAAACCATAGTCCAACTAGTTCGTGGTTTTCTGTGCTCACTGCACTCTATCAAGGGTTTGTAACAAAGTATAACTTTAGGGGCTCAAGGTTATAGTTACTTACCATGGAGGAATATTAAGGTTTTCAAACTGTAGGATGTTAGAATAAGCTTGCTAAATTAACCAAACAAAGTATTCTAATGTATAGATGTCTAGAAGTAATTTTTTTAGAAATCCTAAGTAGAAATCTATTAAGTTTGAATAGACATGTACTTTGGTGTTTCTATATGTGTTTTGTTGGCTTTTGTGTTTGGTGGTGGGTTGAGGCGTTTGGGTATAGGTGTCGTTGTGATGGGGAATTGTTGTATAGAAAATGTGTACACGTATGTATAGAAAATATATGAGTATCTACTATGCGTTTGTATGTGTAAAATGTGTACACGGTGTGCCTGTGTGTTTGTTAATGATACGGTGAAATAGTGAGTTCATTAAGTTAAAATGGCGTAAGAATCTTAACTGTTAGATCTTAGAAAACTGCTAAGATTAGTCTTAAAACTCAACTGTCTCTTCTTCTCCTTTTGATCCATGTCTAGCTTACTAGTTACTTCTATTTCAATGGTGACCTAATCAAGGGACTATTTCAAATATATGTGTGTATAGAAAATATCTTTACATATATATGTTTGTGAATATGTGTACGTGAATCTATTTAGTGAATACAAATGGGGTTAATTTCATAAAACCTTCAATAAGTTTTGGTGCTTTACACTTAACTTCAATAAGTTTGAAACTGTTTCTTAACCCGGTCCCAATAAGTTTTGATAGATAGCAGAATCCCGCTTGGGGAGTACGTTCGCAAGAATGAAACTCAAAGGAATTGACACCATTAAGTTTAAGCATCATGTCTAGATAAGTTGATTGAAATATCCCTCATATTTTTCAATTTTTTAGCAATGACTTTTTACATGTACACCCTGAATTTTCTCAATTTTGCATATATACCCCTATTTATTCATCTCTCATCCTCTCACCTTAATCTAAACTTCTTGGGGGATAAGTGATAGTTTCAAGTGTTTTGAGGATTAAATGCAAAATGACAAAACTTATTACGGGGTAAATCTCATATATATATATATACTATATATAGTAGGGTAGTATATTAATATACTATATATAATATATATATATATATATATATATTATATGAGAAATATGGGTAATGCTTGTACCAAGGCACAAAAAGTTGGTGCTTGGTAGTGAGGTGTCAAATCCCCCTCCACTCATTCAATGCTGGCGAACAATTCAGTATGGGTAGTGACGTGGAATGAGGATGTGACACATCTGTCTACAAGGCACAAAATTTGTGTTGGGGGTACCGAAGCATACCGCAATATTTGCGTCTGCTCGTCTGTCTGCTCGTAGTATAGTAGTAGATATAGTATATATAGTATGAATGATAATGATATACGATCAACTTCTCAGCAGTCAGTGAGGTGAGTAATCAAAGTGGGAGCCCATTTTCGCAAGCGGAAATTCGCTTTAGATGTGCTAGATGAGAAATAGCCACAATTGTACTATGCACAGGTCGATTTTGTCCTTGATTACTAAGGAATAGTCAGTTTCTCGACACACACACTACTTATAAACGGTCGACTGCAGTGTGAAAACTTCTAAATTTCCATATTTTCACGCATTATCATCAATCTCCTAATTTAATCATCACTAATTGTCCATACATCTTACATTCGCAAAAACCTTTGTCATTCATAAATTACTTTAAATAACATATGCTAATATTAATAATAGTTGCAGCCATTAATTGTTTAATAATAGTATGGTAAAATTAATTACTATTAAATACCATATAAGAATTATGAATATAGTAATACTATTAAATACTATTAAAAAGTATAGTATTCTTTAATGATAGTATAAATATTTAATACTATAGTCTACTAGATAGTAATACAATTTCACTAGTATTATATAAATTAGAAATTATGTTTTATTTGATAATCATACTTTATATATACTATTTAATAAATAGTGATAATAAAGAAGTAATTTGTTGAAATATTTAATAATATTAATAAATTTCTTTATAGGAATTATCATTCTACTATATATAACATGTTTTAATAAGAATAGATATAGAGGAGGATAATAATGTATTATAATTATCCATAATTACTTTTATTTCATATTTAATAAGAAATTAAATATATTAAAAATTAAAAAATATTTAATTTAATTTTTAAAATAAAGTGTGATTAACTTATAATAAATATTCATATGATCTTTATACAGTTCTATTGTACAATTTGTATTTTAGTAACACAAAGTCTAATATGTTTCACACATTTTCCACTTCAAGAGAAAAACTCAACATGAAACAAATTATGTTTGGCATGCAAGCATGTTCAGTTATACTAGTGTGATGCGGTGTGTGAGCTGTATAGAAGAAAACGCTTTTGTAAAACTTAGCGACGTGGATAGGAGCTTGTTTGTCCACCAACTTTTTAGTCTGTTCATTTTGCTTTGAGATTGTGCGTACATGCGTAACAAAATTCATGCACACATCTCAAAGATAGCATTGTGTGTACGCACGATCTCAAAGGCAGATCAAAGGTTGAAAACCAGTGGAACAAAGAGTTCTATCCACTAAAAGTTTATTCTAGCTTTTCTCTCTCTATACACGTGCGGCGCGCACACACCATAACACATCTGCCATGTATATTATGTAGACATGACATACTATGTAGAGTTGTAATCTGTGTATGTATAGAGTAATGATTATGGTGAGATAGCGGAGAGGTTATCGAGTATCGAGCTGAGCAATCTTAACGTCTAAAGCTAACTAATGGCCTGAGATCGCGTCTTAAAGGCAACAACCATCTGTTTTCTTTCACATTTAATTGAAATATATGAGAAGAACGCCTAATCCTTTATTAATGAAATTCTCTTGGCTTATATAGGCCCTAAAATACACTTACAAATAAGTTCCCTACATATTAGTGCATATGTCAACACCCCTCCTCCGCCCTGCAAGATGGAAGAAAGATAGTCCACTAAGCCTTATTATGAAATCTCTTGGGCTGTATATAGGCCCCTACAAAATACAACTTAAAAAAGTCGCCCTACAATTACTCACTAATATTAATAATATTTGCTAGCCAGTTAATTGTTTAATAATATATGGTAAATAATTACTATTAAATACCATTAAGATTATGAAATAGTGAATAGCTATTAAATGACTATTAAAAAGTATAGTACTCTTTAATGATACGTATAAATATTTAATACTATAGTCTATAGATAAGTAATAAATTTCACTACGTTTTATATAAATTAGAAATTATGTTTTATTTGCATTAAATCTACTATTATATATACTATTTAATATAATAGTATAATAAAGAATAATTTGTTGAAATATTTAATATATTAATAAATTTCTTTATAGGCATATTTCATTTACTATATATAACATGTTATAATAAGAAAGTAGATATAGAGGAAGGATTAATAAATGTATTATAATTATCCATAAATTACTTTTATTCTATTTAATAAGAATAATATATTAAAAATTAAAAATATTTAATTTAATTTTTAAATAAAGTGTGATTAACTTATAATAAATATTCATATGATCTTTATACAAGTTCTATTGTGACATTTTATTTTAGTAACACAAAGTTCTACATGTTCAACATTTTCCACTTCAAAGAAAAACTCAAACAATAAAAAATATGTTTGGCATGCAAGCATGTTCATTATACTAGTGTGTGCGTGTGTTGAGCTGTATAAAGAAACACGCTTTTGTAAAACTTCACGTGGATAGGAGCTTGTTTGTCCACCAACGTTTTTAGTCTTTCATTTGCTTGAGATTTGTGGCTGTACATGCGGAAACAAAATTCAGTGCACACATCTCAAAGATGAGCATTGACTGTGTACGCCAGCGAATCTCAAAGGCAAGATCAAAGGTTGAAAAAAGTGCCGAACAAAGAGTTCTATCACTAAAAGTTTATTCTAGCTTTTCTCTCTCTATACACGTGGCGCGCACACACCATACACATCTGCCATGTATATTATGTAGACATGAATACTATGTAGAGTTGTATCTGTGTATGTATACGAGTAATGATAATGGTGAGATAGGGAAGGTTATCGAGTATGCTGAGCTGAGCAATCTTAACGTCTAAAGCTTAACTAATGCGCTGAGATCGCGTCTTAAAGGCACAGACCATCTGTTTTCTTTCACATTAATTGAACATATAATGAGAAACGCCTAATCCTTTAATTAATGAAATCCTTGGCTTAATATAGGCCCCTAAAAATACAACTTACAAATAAGTTCCCTACATATTAGTCAGTATGTCAACATCCTGCTCGCCCTGCAAGATGGACAGAAAGATAGTCCACTAAGCCTTTATTATGAATCTCTTGGGCTTATATAGGCGCCTACAAAATAAACTTACTAATAAAGTCGCCTACATATTACTCACTATGTCAACACTCCTCCTCAAGATGGGCGAAAGATATCTATTAAGCCCATCTTGTCACATCCTCTAATCATATCTAATGAGCTAAGTCCCTTAGTCAGACAATCTGCTGTCTGGTCCTTAGTTGAAACATGACTTAGCTCCAGTAGTCCACTATCCAACTTCTCTTTGATGAAGAACCTATCGATCTCGATGTGTTTGGTTCTATCATGCTACACTGGGTTGTTGGCGATACTGATAGCTGACTTGTTATCACACAACTTTATCTTAGCTCCTTGATCCAGCTTCAGCTCCACCAGCATGCTCTTCAATCATAACTCAGCAACTTCTTAAGCCATAGCTCTATACTCTGCCTCAGCTGTCGATCTCGCCACCACAGACTGTTTCTTGCTCTTCCACGAGACTAAGTTCCCTCCTATAAAGATGCAGTATCCTGAGGTGGACCTCCTGTCATCAGCACAACTAGCCCAATCAGAGTCGCAGTAACCCTCAATACTCACATGTCCATTCTTTCTGAATATCAGCCCTTTTCCGGGGGCACTCTTCAAATATCTCAGAATCTGGTACACAGCGTTCATATGATCCTTCCTCGGATCATGCATGTAGCGGCTCACCACGCTCACTGCAAAAGAGATATCGGGACGTGTGACTCAGATAGATCAACCTGCCCACCAGCCTTTGGTATCTGTCACGATCAACTGGTTCTCCAGCTTCAGCACCCAACTTGAATTTCTGGTCGATCGGTGTAGTTGTAGGTTTACACCCTAACATCACTGTCTCTTTGAGAAGATCCAGTGCATATTTTTTCTGTGATAGGACAACCCCCTCCGCTCCTCGAGCTATCTCTATTCTAAGAAAGTATCGAAGCAATCCAAGATCTTTCACCTCGAATTCCTTACCTAGTCTCACTTTGAGTTGGGCAATCTTCTTCTTATCATCCCCTATAATAATTATATCATCCACATATACCGCAAGCATGGTGATGTGACCTTTATTTTGTCAAAAGAACACGGTATGATCGGCGTTAATCTGCTGGTACCCCATACCTAGCATAGCTCTCCTGAATCTGTCAAAAGAACACGGTATGATCGGCGTTAATCTGCTGGTACCCCATACCTAGCATAGCTCTCCTGAATCTGTCGAACCAAGCACGGGGAGACTGTGCTGGTACCCCATACCTAGCATAGCTCTCCTGAATCTGTCGAACCAAGCACGGGGAGACTGCTTCAGCCTATAGAGACTTCTTTAATTTGCAAACCTTGCCCACTGTCTGATCTGTGTTGAATCCTGACGAAATTTTCATGTATACCTCTTCCATCAGATCTTCATGAAGAAATACATTCTTCACATCTAATTGGGGTAGCTTCCATCCATCATTTACTGTCAGAGAGATCAAGGTCCGAACAGTGCTCATCTTTGCCACCGGTGCAAAAGTCTCATCATAGTCGATCCCATATGTCTGACTATATCCTTTTGCCACCAAACGAGCTTTGTAACGCTCAACCTGTCCGTCTGGATTTTGCTTCACAGTGAAGACCCACTTGCATCCAACTGCTCTCTTTCCTTTTAGTAGTTTTACTAACTCCCAAGTACGGTTCTTCTCAAGGGCCCCTAGCTCTTCGTGCATCATCGTTTTTCACTTTGGGTCTTTCTTAGCATTCTGCCAATTGTTAGGTACAATAACAGAGTCCAATGATGCAATGAATGCTCCATGTGTAGGATGAATGTTAGAATATGATACAAACTGGGCAAGATCCCATGGCTAGGGTTTTTGGTGGAGGCTCTGATACCAAATTGAAATATATGAGAAAACCCTAATCCTTATTATGAAATCTCTTGGGCTTATATAGGCCCCTACAAAATACAACTTACAAATAAGTCCCTACATATTACTCATATGTCAACACATTTGATCAGTGCGTCTCCTCTCTTTGATCCCGCCTCTGCTCCCATTTCAATGGTGCTGTGTTTAAGGGACTATACAAGACAGAAATTTGTTACTGTCGTCGACAATTCTGTAAATGAGAATAAAGTTGTTTCTTTCAACTGTTACACGGATGTGAATCTCTGTGATGCCAGATAGCAAGCACCAGGAACATTTAAATTGGTGAACCCATAATAGAAATTAAAAACTCAAAAGTTTGTAAGCCTCCATCCATCCAACAATCATAAGCTGATTAGACCTAAGATTCTGTCTTAATATTTTGTTTTTTTATTATTTGTCTCTCCATGCATCCCTGCTATATGTTGACAAAAAAACGCCATAGTTTTCCTTCAGAAGTCAATTGGTATGCCCACAAGCTGGTAAAAAGGGGGTTCATGGTTGAGAAAAGGGGATGTTGGTGGCTGTTGAGAGAAATGGGCACGGGCAGTGCAGCAATGGGGAAAGTAGGTGTCATGGCATCAGAAGGGAGAGAAGGGGAAAGAAGTGTCATGGCATCAGAAGGGAGAGAAGGAAAAAAATGAGGCGAATGGATGAGTTCTAAGACTAAACTCAACCATAGATTGATATTTTGAGGTTGAAAAAAATCAGCTCATTTTAACTCACCATGTCACATATCATTACTCTGTATGTATTTGTATTGTATGTGTGTTTAGATATATACCTGTGTACGAGTATAGATACATACATGCACATGTATGTATGTATCACGCATGCACCCCAGCAAGCACGCACATATGCACCCCAGCATTCAGGCATACAGATGTGTTTTTGTATCTACATTTATGTATGTGTTGTATGTATGTGTATAACACATATGAAGTTTGTTAAATGAGCAACCAAGATACGTATATATGGTCAGACCCACCCTAGTAGTCACACATGAACGGGTGGGTCTCAGTCTCACCACCCATTATCTTAGTGGCTTATTTAACAAATTGAGCCACTACCTCATAACGGTCAAACTGAATATGCCTGCACGCGCACGCCCGCACATGCAAACATGGTCGTGTTTATAGGTGCAGAGAGGGAGAGCGAGAGGGAAGGGAGGGGAACCAGCTAAAGTCAGAGCAAGGATCATATGCTGCAGTTCTTACAATCAAAAGTAAATATCAAGTTAATCACTGCCAAGAAAATATGACTGTCAAACATAAGTTGCAAACTCTTAGGTTATGTATGTTGCTTGACATCTCCTTTGGTGCGTTCGCTCTGGCTAAAGCCAAAACCTTAACCTTTTGTATGTTTTGGTTATAAGGCAAATCCTCAAGAATGGGTAATAAGTTTGAAATACTTTCCTCAAAAAGGTGTCGAGAGGACAATTTTCCTCTTCTGCAATTAAGCTGATTTCTTTTTTTTTTCTTTTGCAGGATGGAAATCTCGGTGTGCTGAGTACTTCCCATACTCGACCTACTTTGAAGGCCAAAGAAGCTCCGCTGTTGCTAAATCTTCAAATAATGGTATGTTGAACGCATCAGAGAATGGAATCTTGACCCAAGGACCAGAGAATGGAAAACTGAGTGAATTCAAGGACCTGGCTATCAAATAGAATCTGCCTAATTTTTCCCTTTGGCTAGTTCCTAATATTATTCGCAAGCATCATCTACACGAAGGAGGTAAAGAGGGAAAAAGCAATAGCGAAATCAACCCAGCCTTTTGTTAAAAGTTGGTTCAGTGGGTTTCTTGGTTATTTATGTAGCTGTGTTTGTGTATTAACATTCAACCAGCTACAGATGGTGGAGATTTTTGATGTTTAGTGGGTTCTATGTGTCATAAGAAGTATCAATCAGGCAATTCCTAGCCCAGGTACATATTCTTTTAACTGGGGTTGAGAGTCTGGAGGTTGATTGTTGGACGCTCGCCAAGTGAAATTTTGATCTTTTAAGTCTTTTTTGTACAATGGATTTTTGGAGTGGCGATAACTGTATCCACAGTTATGAGGTGATTGTCAATGGGTAACCTTAATTTATCAAGGGACAATTTTAGTGTACCAAGCATGTATCGTTTGGCTTGTCATTAAACTAGAATCGGTTAACGAAAGATTTCAGCGTGTAGGTTGATTTCTTTGTTTCAGATTTTCTAATGTTGGTTGTAGATTTAATTACTTGATTGCCAAGAAGGTTGCATTGAAGGATGTAGATTAGATTAAGTGCACGAGGAGAAGCGATTAAAAATATAGATTTGTGTATTTCATTTTGTCTATTCATCAAAAGATTAGATTGTGGTGCTCAGTTTCAAAGATGTTCCCTTCCATAATATTATTGGAACAGGTGCATGGAAGAAGATATGGATTAGACCGTTAATTGATGAGCCACTGATTATGGCTTGCTGTAAAATCCTACAGCTGCCATTTTTGGTTTGAATCTGAGCTAAAATGCTTTTCACAGAGAGAGGATTTTACTTGACAAAATTTTGATAGGCCAATAATTCTCATGAAGGCTGAAATATACGCCTATTACCCGTCAAAAGATGTAAAATAAGAAACAAGTTTGCAAGTAAACTGAACAAAAATAAATCTAAAAACTTTGGTAGATAAGAAAATGGCAAATTTTTTTTAAAGGAATTACAATAAAATATGGTGAACTTCGACCATATTTACTGGTCTTGCAGCCGGACATTTTTAAACAACAAAAGATCTCTCATTTTACTCCATATTTATTTTGCTTTTTTTTTATCATAGGCCTTAGTTGTGTGATTTCGTCTTTGTACTACAATAATAATAACATAAGCTTATGATTTCTGACGACAAATTCACAGGAAAAATTTTATATTTTTCTCTCTCGTAATGTTAGACAATATTATAAAACCTATAGTCATACCAAAGATGTATGCTTTAATCGGAAATTTTAAAGAATATTACAGGGCACAGGGGATAAAATCCCATAAAATGCTCTCTGCAAAAAATGATAGAAAGAAGAAGGAGATCCGTAAAATATGTCCCAATGTCAATTCTAGATCGCTTGGATCACCAATATTGTATTAGTAGCGTCAGTACAATCTTGTCCTCCACAACAACTATTGCTCTTAAGGGCGGAAATGAATTGAATCAATATTGACGGTCTTCGTGTTTGTATTCGTTTAAAATTTTTAAAATTTGTACTTCTTCTTTGAATTTCTTCTAATTCCATAATATAAATGTTTTTTGAATATTTGGGAATATATTTATTTGATCACTAATTCATTGCTTATGAATGCTAAACTATACAATTAAGAAGATGCTTTTATTTGACTAAAGAAAATCTATTCAAATACTGACACGGGGCCTTTTAAATTCGTCAAACTTAGTACAGAGCTTAAATCAGAAAACATAAATGAGTTAAAAGCATAACATAATGCATGTCATAAAACAAATTATGAGGGATGAAACCACAAACAAATATGTGATAATCAAATGCCTGGAATATACATCTGATTACATTATGTTCATTTATGAATTGAATACTAAAGTCTATTTATCGATACTACATATTATGAAGAGCTCCTATTTTTATGGCTGTGAGCCACATCTTTAGAACTCTAAAAATGCCCTTACATCTGAAAAGATTTTATTGCAAATGCACTCACACTTTTAAAAAAAATCAATAACATGAGCTTACACCTAACAAAATCAAATGAAATATCCTCACAATTGGGGGAAAAAAATTCTAGTAACGTTCTTAAAGGGCTGTTTGGTTCGCTATTATAATGGGTGGAAAACTCAGAAAACCCCTCCACGTCAGATTTTTAGCCCTCCATGTCAGTTTTTTGTTTCCGTCCATTTCTTTGTGCCGCTTTGGTTCGCTCGGATGGAAGAGGGAAAACTCTGCTGAAATCGCCGCCAGCTCAGATTTTTTTCCCTCTGATTTCCTTTCCCAACCGAGCGAAATTGATGAAAACTCTGCCACGTCAGATTTTTTTCCTTCTCTGCTTTGTTTACAAAAGTTTTCCTTTTTTTCTATGCTAACCAAACACAAGAAAAATAAATACATTGGTTTCTCACCATTTTTTATGTGCGAACCAAATAAAAAAAAATCTATTTCTTGGAAAAGTTTAGAAAACTCAAAACTTGTATTTCTTTACATGGAATTGTATTTTCCTATATCAAGGAAACGAACCAAATAGCCGCTAAGCAGAAAAATCCAAAAAAAGAAAATTCAACGAAATCATATCCATTTATTTCGTTAACAACTTAATTACAACATCCTTCCCACGTTTTGGGCTCACAACCTAACTATTAAAAGACCTGTACAATTGAATTTTTTTTTTCTAGAAACTTTTTGCCAATAGACAGACGCCACGTGTCCCAGATGCTCGCGTGGTTTTTGTTGACCACACTAGTTTTTTGTTGAGCCGGGGCAGGTAATCATTACTCGCAGGCGGTCCCCACCTGCCGACGCTCCCCAACCGTTATAATCCCAGGGGCAGGTAATCATTACTCGCAGGCGGTCCCCACCTGCCGACGCTCCCCAACCGTTATAATCCCAGCTGTGCCTACTACAATTCCCAAAAACACCCTCAAGGGTCCCCCGTACCGCTCCGCCGTTACGTCCAACCGACCGAGGTCACTTTCGTCATTTAATATTAAAAACGCTCCCAACCGTTATTAATCCCAGCTTTGCCTATTACAATTCCCAAAAACACCCTTACGGCCCCCCACGTACCGCTAGGGGTGCATTCGGTCCGGATACGGTTCGGATGTGATGCTTATCATATCTATATCTGTTTACTCATCTCCGATACGGATACGGATACGAATATACCTCGGTAAGAAAAATTCATAACCATATCTTCTAAAATATACATGCGGATATATATAAGCAGATATGCATACGGATACAAAACGGATATGAGAAAACTAGATAGTATTGAAAAAAACATGGTTCATGTGATACACAAGAGCTCGTTAATATGTTTATTATAACTGAAAAGTTAAGATTAGACATATTGATCATCAAAATTAACCACAAATCCGTAATCTAATAATCGAAACTATCGTAAGAGTATGACTAATATGTATTCGGATATTTCGGATACGGATACGGATATTTCGCTGCAAAATCATATTCGTATCCATACCCTATCAGTTATAGATTTGAGATACGGTTATGAATATTTTCGTAGGATACCCCTGCTTACCGCTCCGCCATTACACCCAACCGACCGAGGTCACTTTCGTCATTTAATACTAAAAAGACCGCTATAAATAGGCGCCTGAAACAGCGCGGTCCGATGAGGTGGGGGGTGTGGTTACCGCCTGTAACCAGCGAACGCCCTCGATCATCGCGCTGTCTCCTCCCCATCCTTCGATCGGAAACCCTAACCTTTAAAGATTTGGGGGACGAGGAGGGAAGGGGAGGTTTCGAACCCTGGCTGATCGAGCTGGGGCTGGTGTTTTCGTCCTCTCTTCGTCTCTTTGGGGCTAACCCTAGCTTAGCGGGCTTGGAGGTGAGAATGCGGCGATCTGGTTGAGAAAATTTTTTGCCTTGATTTTGAGAATTTGGGGATCTGCTGACTAGGGGTTGCTGCTCGCCTGTTTTTTTTTTTTTGCGATGAAAAATTTTAGGTGTTTTTCTTGCAATTTGAGCCCGCGTTAAATTTTTTTTTGCGTAAAAAAAATATCTTTTTGGATTAATTATGGTTATCCGTTTTTGAAAATTCGATTGCTGACAATTAGTATAATCTGGTTTTGGGTAATTTATATTTGGTTCAATTACGTTGTAGGTTTAATTTGATTGAGTAGTAAAATACACAGTTTTTTTTTTAATTTGACGCACTTTGAAGAGGAATGAATCTGGGGTTCATATTTTTAAGATGAAATTTACGATGTTCCCTACTTGCACAGGGGAGTTATATGTGAACTGCTGATTTGATCGAAGTTTTGAGGAACTTGTACAACTTGACCTCCCTGCTATTAGGATCGGCCATCTGACTAGCTTATTTGCTGTTTCATTGCAGTGCTGAGTTGTCTATATAGTACCCATCATGGTGGCTGCCGCGGCTACCGCAGCGTTCTTCCCTGTTCCATCCTCCTCGTCTTCCTCATCTTCGTCATCAACATCCTCAGCAGCTAAACCGCCTTCTGTTTCTTTTGGTCCCAAACCCACATCTTCTAATGTTGGTTTGCAAGTGAAGGCTAATGCCCAAGTTGCCACCAAGATCAATGGCGCCAATACCGGGCCGAAAGCTAACCCTACAATGGTTGGAGACGACCCCCCTTCTTCTTATCTGGCCCCGAGAACGTTTTACAACCAATTGCCTGATTGGAGCGTTCTGCTTGCTGCCATTACTACCATGTTCTTGGCTGCTGAGAAGGAATGGACTCTTCTTGACTGGAAGCCCAAGAAGCCCGACATGCTTTCGGATGCTTTTGGTCTTGGGAAGATTATTGAGAATGGACTTGTTTATAGGCAGAGCTTTTCTATAAGGTCATATGAAATTGGGGCGGATAAAACAGCTTCTATAGAGACGTTAATGAATCATTTACAGGTTGGATAGTTGATATCATTCACATGGACTGAAAATAAAATGTGGTGTTTTTGTGTACTTATGTTCTCATACGCTTTGTCTTTGATCAGGAAACAGCTCTAAATCATGTGATGTGCGCTGGACTCATGGAGGGTGGATTTGGTTCAACGCCAGAGATGAGTAAAAGGAATCTGATTTGGGTTGTTACCAAGATGCAAGTTCTTGTTGATCGTTATCCTTCTTGGTAGGCTTTTTTTTTTTATATTCCTCATGTTCATCTTTATTTCTTCCTGGTTTTGGCCATCACTGTTATCAATATTATCATCAGTGTCTCGTATACAGAACACTCATGGAGCATGACTATCATGAGAAACTTTTATGTATGATTCGAAACGGTACTTGAAATGGTCTTGCAATCTGGTGGTTTAACAACATAGAACATATCAGCTGCTAAGCTTACATGCCAAATTCTTTATGAAGCAAACTAAACTTTGCTAAAGTTATAGGGCATTGGCTGATAAGAAAGCACACTTTAATTCTTCCTCTTAAAAGCTAGGGGTTGTGAGCTGCTTAATGCATGATGACGATGATTTCTGCTTTACTGCTGAATATTGTTTGCTTTCAATGCTATGCAACCGCTAGAAGAATTTCATGACATGTATTGACAACTACTGTTAGAGCATGCAGGTATTTTCAATTCTTTCTTTGTATAGCTCTTCATGTGACTTTTTAGGCATTTAGAAATTATGCACTTCGTACCTAAACTGGATATAAGGTGACTATTTGTGTGATGATGTTGATTGATGAATTTCTCCATTACCTGGTGGAAATATTTTAGCATCATTTGAGAAATTGAACGTGTTTAGATTAGCATTTTGCATGGTTGAAAAAATTTGAATATGCTACATGCATTATCTTGAGAATTCCTCACTCTCAGCTTTATGTTTGCTAATAAAATATTCATAGTTTTTCTGTACATGTGCTTTTTGCATATCCGGTTTTGGTCTGAGGACAGTGAACACCCATATCGCTTCACTTCTATTTAGATTATCATTATTGGGTGTCATAAGTGTGAAAATAAATAGCATCTTTAGTTAGAAAAATATAGCATACGTTAGGTTTCTAATATTTAGCTTCTTTTAGCATTCTGGACCTGGTGTTAGAAAAACATAAAGTTCATGGTTCTAGTTTCTTCTTTAATGTTTTTTTGTCCCAAGAACCTGTGTAGTAAGTATGAATGGACTGTGTATGCCTGTATATAGAAACATTATATATGTTTTTTCATGCAAATAAATTTGCTAAACCGAATAAATTAGGTCAACTTGATGGCATTCTAGTAGAGATGTATACATTGCCAGGCATAAGGATCTCTCTAGGCACAGTAACCCCCTTCCCCCCAACCCATCATCTACTGCCCGCTCGAATTGATTGTAATGATAATATGAACAGACTGTTTGCCTATCTGTAGGACCATTGTATATATTTATCTATACAAAGAAATTTTCTAAACCAAATGAATTAGCTCAACTTGATGGCAACTTTCCTCATTATCATTGTAACTGATTTAGTTTTATGGTAATATGCCTGATGTTAATTGTTTTTAGTAAGGCTCTCAATATGTATGCAGGGGTGATGTTATTGAAGTAGATACTTGGGTTAGTTCATCCGGAAAGAATGGCATGCGCAGGGACTGGCATGTTCGTGACCGTCGAACAGGGCAAACTATTATGAGAGCCACCAGGTATGTAGATTCTGCTTGTGCTTTACTCTCAACTGAAAGTATTATCTCAGCTTCTCATTCATAAGTGTTGGTCTCTTTCATTGCTTTATGCCAAGAGGTACTTAATTTGGTAACTGTTATTGGTCGCTTCAGTAATTGGGTGATGATGAACAAACAAACAAGGAAGCTATCCAAGTTTCCTGAAGAAGTTAGAGCTGAAATAGGACCCTACTTTATAGAGCAGGACCCTGTTATTAATGAGGACAACAGGAAAATTCCTAAGCTCAATGATGACACTGCAGATCATGTTCGCAGGGGTCTAACTGTAAGCTTAGTGGCACTTATGAAATTATGTTGAAATATTTTATACTTTTTTCTGTTATCTTTCTTTCTGTTATCAATCTCCTCCTACAAGTAATACTGATCCAGTGTTTTCGAATATAATTGCAGCCTCGATGGAGTGATTTAGATGTCAACCAACATGTGAACAATGTTAAATATATTGGGTGGATCCTGGAGGTAATATAAGTGCTACAACTGCTCAACTAGTTCTTTTCCTTGTTATATACCTGTTTGTAGTTGTGAACTTGAAGACGTGTGCTGATTGGTAGTTTTTCTGGTCTAATTACTAAATCCTACAATACACTAGAGGAATTATTCTGATTTGTTCCACCCCAAAAATGCTTCAAACTTTGATTACAGTCTCTATGTGCAATTATAGATGAGCAATACATAACTAGTAGACACGATTAACGATGATTTGTTAGATTATAGTTTAGAACATCAAGAAGAGTTCTAGTATTGAGAATTGCACAGTCCTTTTTCGGAAGATAGGGTGAACTTGACAGGTTTTGACTGTACTCTGAACAACTTCACTATGCATCTCATCCAGTTTGTCCCATAATATTCATTTCCCAATCCTGAATGTTACAAATATCAGCTTCATTATTGATGTCATATGCAGACACTATGAGTTGAAAACTTGATGGTTGCAAATCTCGGATTCATAATTGTACAGTTTGTTGATAGAAGTGAGTTTGTCCAGTAATTTCATTTTTCTGAACCTGGTTATAAAATCTGTGAATTACAATCGTTCTTGTCAGCTGCTTACAGTCAGATGAGATCTTGATGATTAAATATGGGCATACATATAGCATTTCTCTTTTTGCTAATTGCACTGTTCACAAATAGAATTTGCGGAAATGCTTTTACTGGGACTAATAGTTCTTAAGCATAGGAGATTCATAAATCCATCAGAATTCAGAGCAACATGTAGTACAATATTACCATTTCCGACATTATCCGTTCATATAGTTGCCTATCAGTCTTATCACATTTTGATTCTTGGTCAGTTCCTGTCTTTTGATTTAGTCTAATATCTACTTCGACGTCATTGAACAATGGGTTGTCTGGCCCAATGCTTTTAATGATCTTTGCAATTTGTATTTGCTAGTTGTCTTCACAAGAAGTATCACTGAGCTGTCCCTGGTAATGTTTCTTTTTTTAATTTCTTCATTTTTCTCTCTCCATAAAAAAAATAAAACTTTGGTTGGTATAGGGCTGTTTTCATCGTCTTCATTCGTTATAACCCAGTATCACCAGTTGGGATTGATACGTGTTTGTTTGGGGTTCACATGATTCATTAGGCAGTATGCTTTGCTTATCTATTGGCAATAATTGTTCATTTATTTGCAAATCCACATGGCTGGGACTTATAGACAAGCTTGAATGTATAATGCCGCTTATCTTGCTTACTCTTGTTCTTCAACTAGTATTCCGGTGCTCGCGTTGCGTTCATGGCATGGAATGTGCAACAATGATGTAGTTGAGTTGTCAAGGAATGGAGGGTTTGTTAGGTCCCCACCCCCCAAACCCAAAAAAAAAAAAAAAAAAAAAAAAAAAAAAAAACCAAAAAAAAAAAAAAAAAAAAAAAAAAAAAAAAAATCCACCCAAAAGTGTGAGGATATTTTCATTGATTTTCCACAAGTGGGAGGGAATTTTGCGAGAGCATTTATGTAGTTTTCTTTTTTTTCCAAGTGCAATGACATTTCTGTAGTCTTTTCCTAGTGTGAGACTATTTTCGATCTTTTAAAACTATGACTCACAAACCCGAAGGGGGCTTCTCTTAAATATATAGTATAGACTGTGTGCGCGCACACACAGAACATGCCCAGAATACACACAAAAACATGAATATACATGTCGATATTCAAATGAGAATGCTGAGAACTTTTGCGAGAAGTCAGTAATTGGTCATGTCATGGAGAAACATTATTGTTTCTTTTTATTAACACATCCTTTTGGACACATTCTAATAAGTTTATGAAAAAGAAATCAAGCAGTTAAATGCAATTCCTTTATATTCAATCTTCATGGCAAATATCACTAGATTCAGGTAGAAAGCGGCGGTAGTAGCTTATGTTGGTTTTTGAGAGAGAAAGATGAGATTATTTTTTAGGGGGTTTTGGTGATTAGCAATATTTTTTTTCAGCAGTAGGGGTTCTTACTTGAGAGAACTATGGGAAGTGGGGGTTGTTAGAGAGAATAACTATTGAGATATTTGAGACAATCTTTGAGCAGGTGGAGATAGTAGGTGTTGCCTCTGTAAATAGTGCAGTCTGTCAGAAAAAACCCCTCGTCTCATTATCGGAGGCCCCCAAATCCAATATCATCCCATTTTGTCCATCGGTATCAGAGCATAGATACAGATCCATTCCCTTTAGTTTTTACTCGTTAGAAATGAAGCAGTTTTTGTAGAGACAAACACGGATGTGCAACCACCTCACCAAGAAAAGACAAAGATTAATCGTGGTTCGGCAAGATGCCTACGTCCACAACCGGCAAGATCGACAATGCACTATTTATCAAGAGGTTACAACGAAGACGGAGAAGATTAGAAACTCTAATCTCTCTACCTTACAAAGCCAAAACAAATATCAATTTTTCTTGTCAAAGATACATAGAGAAACCCTAGACAATCTTTATTTATATAGCCTCCCTCAAATTCGAGTCTAACTAGCTAAACAACTCACCAATCCGAATACAAACATGAGTCCAACTAGCCAAACAACTCCCCAATCCGAATCCAAACAGGACTCGAAAACGCGTCTAAATCATGTGGGACCCATCAGTGTGTTCAGACTCTGTAGTCGACAAAGAGGTCTGACAATTTTTGGCTCAATATGAGCCACCACTGGGTGGCTTTCAATACAGCCAACTTCACAAATTTCCACCTTAGCGAAATTGATAAACCACCAATAGTTTTCATCACCCAAGTAACCTCTGATCTTTTCAACAACCATCACCATTAAATAGTCCCGAAGGGCCTCAACACCGAAGAACATTGATCAAGTTGAGACAGTGCTCAAACTTGACTGTTGGAACAACTTTTATCAACATGTTCGTCGGGTTCTCCTTAGTGTCAATCTTCGTCAGTCGAATCTTACCACTCTCAATTATCTCACGGATAAAATGAAATCGGACGTCAATATGCTTGGTGCGAGTATGATGGACTTGATTCTTCATAAGATGAATTGCACTTTGACTGTCGCAGTGGACTTCAACAACCTCTTGAGATATACCCAAGTCACCAACCAAACCACGTATCCACACTGTTTCCTTAATCGCCTCTGTTACTACCATGTACACTGCCTCTGTAGTAGACAACGGCACAGTAGATTGTAACATAGATCTCCAACTGATCGGACTGCCGACAAGAATAAAATAATACCCACTGGTGGACTGATGCCTGTCCAAATCACCCGCATAGTCTGAATTCACGAACCCTCTCACATGTGACTTTCCAGTCTTTGAATAAACCAAACCGACATCCAACGATCCTTGAAGATACCGTAAAATACACTTGACAACAGCCTGCCAATGTTGTTTACTCGGATTTGTTATATACCGAGTAACCAAGCTGACCGCGTGTGCAAGATCTGGACGAGGGCAAACTATAGCATACATAAGGCTACCATCTACACTAGCATACGGAACTTGAGACATATACTCACGTTCCACCTCAGTAGTAGGAGACTGCAGACCTGAAAGCTTGAAGTGAGGAGCCAACGGAGCACTAACTTGCTTCGAGTTTTGCATCCCAAAACGAACTAACACCTTCTCCACATACCGCCTTTGAGAAAGGCACAACCTCTCATTCTTCTATCTCGAACAATCTCCATCCCAAGTATCTTCTTCGCAAGACCCAAGTCTTTTATCTCAAACTCGGAACTCAACTTCTTGTTCAGCTTGTTGACTTCCACCATACTATGTGAGATAATAAGCATATCATTAACATAGAGCAACAAATAGATGAAAGAATCACCAACCTGCCTGAAGTACACACAATGATCAAGCTCACTCCGTGTAAACTTCTATAGTATCATAAATGTGTCAAACCTCTAATACCATTGTCGCGGCGATTACTTTAATTCATACAATGATTTCTTTACTTTGCACACATAACCCTCCTCACCAGCAACTGTAAATCCACTGGGCTATGACATATAAATGTCCTCCTCCAAATCTCCATGCAAGAGTACAGTCTTGACATTTAATTGATCGAGCTCTATGTCATACTGCGCAATCATCGCTAAAAAGGGTCGGATAGAGGTGTGCTTCACGACCGGAGAGAAAACTTCATTATAGTCAACACCTTCTAGTTGTGCATATCCTTTTGCCACCAATCTTGCCTTGTACCGTACACCTGTACTTCCACCGGAGTTTGGAAAATCATCCTTCACCGTATAGACCCACTTGCACTCAATCGGCTTCTTCCCATTTTGGTACTTCCACCAAATCCTAAGTATGGTTTTTATGAAGAGACTTCATCTCCTCCCTCATAGCCGTCATCCACTCTTTGTTACGATCACCTCTCATAGCTTCATTGTAGGTAACGGGCTCATTTCCATACACAGATAAAGCATAGGTTGTCATATCCTTAAAACCGTAACGAATTGCTGCATTCCCCGCATTGGGTCTTCTCTCTATTGCCTGTCAAGGACAGTTGTTGCTACTGAATAGACTATCATCCGGAACCTCCAATCTATTGTTGCCTCATCAGTGGACATCAGTGGAGTTGTGAATTCCACCTCCAAAAAATATTCACCACTTCCACCCAACCTGATTCCCTGCGAACTGATGTTTCCAACCGAGCTGATATCTCCCACATCTACACTCTTTGAGTTTAGCATGGTTGGCCATTGAATGTCATGTCCGACTGATTACATATTTCTTCCACTCAGGACATCACAATCTGTATCCCTTCACATCACTTTGATAACCTAAAATGATACCCTTTCGGGCTCTCACACCAATCTTATCTTCCTGAACGTGAAAATAAGTAGGGCAACCAAAGATTTTCAAATGACTGTAATCAAAGGGAGTACCAGACCATACTTCAATAGGTGTCTTCGAATCAATGGATGATTTTCAAATGACTGTAATCAAAGGGAGTACCAGACCATACTTCAATAGGTGTCTTCGAATCAATGGATGTATTCGGTGAACGATTCACGAGATAGCATACCAGACCATACTTCAATAGGTGTCTTCGAATCAATGGATGTATTCGGTGAACGATTCACGAGATAGCACGTTGTGTTACTGTTTCAACCCAAAAACACTTGTCCAAACCAGAATTTGATAACATGCACCGTGCTCTCTCTAGTAGGGTGCGATTCATACGCTTCGCTACTCCATTCTGCTGAGGTGTTTGCACCACTATGAAATGCCTGATAATACCTTGCTTCCTGCAGTACTCTTCTGACGGATCCCCCCGTTATCTGACCGAATCCGCTTGACAACTCTGTCAGTTTTCTTCTTGACTATTGTCTTCCATCTAATAAACAAATCGGTGACGTCAGATTTCTCCTTCATGGTGTACAACCAAACTCTCCACGAGAAGTCATCGATAAATGTCACGAACCACCTAGCTCCACTCAAAGACTTAACTTTGCTTGGACCCCAAACATCCGAATGAATGTAATTCAACGTACCCTTGGTGCGATGCTCCGCAGTGCCAAACTTCACCCTACACTGCTTCTCAAAGACACAATGCTCACAGAAGTCAAGCTTTGATATCTTCTCACTACCAAGCAGATCACGTCTGCTGAGAATGGTCATACCCTTCTCACTCATATGCCCAAGGCGCATATGCCACAATCAAGTAGATTTTAAATCAGATTTCTTGACCTGGGACACTGCAACAGCTCCTGTAATCACCTTTCCCTTAAGGAAATATAGATTACCACGTCGTTTACATGTCATCATCACATTGTCTTCATGAAGAACTTTTAGAATCCCATTATCCCCTACAAACATGTAGCCACCGGACTCCAAAGTTCCTATAGAAACCAGACTCTTCTGCAAAGCTGTAACATGCCTTACTTCTGTCAGAGTTCTCACCACCCCATCAAACATTTGAACTCGAAATGTGCCTACCCCAACCGTCTTGCAAGTAACATTGATATCCATCAAGACGTTTCCACCTTCAACCGTCTGTAGGTAGAAAACCACTCCTTGTGAGGACACATATGGTAGATGCGCCCGAGTCTAATAACCAGTCGTCTGATAAATAACTTTGTGAAGTACTCGTCAAAACTTCCTCTGGCTCATCATCACAAGAAGCTTGAGCCACTGATGCTTCTTCCTGCTTATCCGATTTCATCTCCTGTTTATTAGCCTTATCTTTCAGCTTCAGACAATCAAACTTCATATGACCCCTTTGATGACAAAAGTAGCACTCGACATTCTTTTGGTTTCGGGACTTTGACTGACTCTTGTTCTTCCCAGTCTTCTCTGATCTTCCTCTTGCATACAACCATTCGCCCTGCTCCTCCTTACTAGCATCCTACTTCCTAGAAACTTTTGACAACATTGTCGATGTAACATCCTCAAAAGAAATCTTTTCTTTTCTATACAACGTGTCAACTAGTGTATCATAAGAATCCAGCAAAGTACACAACAAGATAATAGCTTTATCTTGATCTTTGACAATATCATCAAGGTTAGACAGATCAGTAATAATCTTTATGAACTCATTTATGTGATCACTCATAGAATTACCTGGATCTATCCGATACTTGTATAACCTCTTCTTCAGATAAAGTACGCTCGTGATGTTCTTCTTCTGATATCTAGTCTCCAATTTATCCTAGATATCTTTGGCTGAAGTTTCCTTCTGAAAGTTGTAGGCGATATCCTTTGATTGACATAGACCAACCAAGGCAAAAATACTATAGTGCTGCACGTACTCAAGTCGAGCTCCTCCCAATCATCCTTCTTCATGTTGTTGGGTTTTACCCCTCTCAACGCCTTGTAAAGCTTCTCCTTGATGAGAACGTCTTTAACTTGTGTTTGCCACAAATCGAAGTTGTTCTGGCCATTAAACTTCTCAATCCCGTAGATTGAAGCATCCTTTGAATACCTGACATTCGAGTTAGAATTCGACTCCATCTTCTCTTACTCCAGTAGAAAGAACCACCCTAGCTTTGATACCAATTGTAGAGACAAACACGGATGTGCAATCACCTCACAAAGAAAAGACAATGATTAATCGTGGTTCGACAAGATGTCTACGTCCACAACCGGCGAGATCGACAATCCACTATTTATCAAGATGTTACAACGAAGACGGAGAAGATTAGAAACTCTAATCTCTCTCCCTTACAAAGCCAAAACAAATATTAATTTTTCTTGTCAAAGATACATAGAGAAACCCTAGACAATCTTTATTTATAGCCTCCCTCAAATTCGAGTCCAACTAGCTATAAACAACTCCCCAATCCGGAGCCAAACAGGAGTCCAACTAATCAAACAACTCCCCAATCCGAATTCAAAACAACTCCCCAATCCGAATCCAAACAGGACTCGAAAACGCGTCCAAATCATGTGGGGCCCATAAGTGTGTTCAGACTCTGTAGTCGACAGAGAGGTCTGGCAATTTGTGGCTTATTATGAGCCACCGGTGGGTGGTTTTCAATACAGTAAACTTCACAGTTTTTTCCTTCCTATCTGATAGAGAAGAGTCAGTGCACTCAAAGTTCGCTTCCCAAAAGAGTTTTCCATTTAAAATATTTTTCTTTTGCTATGTTTTCTCACAGAGAACACTGCACTATTTATAGTATCAACAGCCCAACATCCACTGTCTCTTAAACGGTCTAAAATATCTCAAGAATTATTTTCTCGAACAGTCCCCGCTTCCCATGATTCTCTCAATTGAGAATGCTACTATTGAGAAACTAATGGTTGAAATTTCTTGATCTCTATGTTTTAGATTGCTTTGAAGGTAAAGATCGAGATAAACGGTTAATTGCAGATAGATCTCCTATACTATTTGCTCAATTGTGGGTAGACCCCATGCAGCTCTATTTGTGTGGATTAATCCCTTGTATTAATTTCCTATGTGCGGATAGACCTCTGGGGTGAATTTATTTTCACTCTTTTAAGAGTCAAAAAGAAAAGGTCACTCACGGGATCTATCTGCACAGATAGAACATGGGCTCTATCAGTTAATTTATTGATGAAACATAGTACTTTGCTACAGAATTATTACTTCCTATGTTATAGTGGTTAATATTCCAATTTCTAATTGTATGATTTTTGGTGTCATGGTCTTGTTGTTAGACGTGAGAACCACTTTAGAATTTTTTTTTTAATTTCCAGACAAATCATCTTGCTAAATGAGTTACCAAAGAATGACCAGATGGTCAGGTCCTCGATGGCCATCTATCGGGTGGGGCTCAATCCTCACTACCTACATCTTTGATAGCTCATTTTGGTAAATGAGCCGCGAACGCGTAGCCAGCATTCATGTTCTTTTTTCCCCCCTTGTGTAATATTTTTCTTCATGTGTACAGAGTGCTCCCATGTCAATTGTGGAGAATCACGAGCTTGCAAGCATGACGTTGGAGTACAGGAGGGAGTGCGGTAGGGACAGCGTCCTGCAGTCCCTTTCCGCAGTCTCAGCAGCGGAAACCTCTGTCGAGTGCCAGCATCTGCTTCGTCTCGAGAGTGGGTCCGAGATTGTGAAGGGCCGTACAGAGTGGAGGCCCAAGAACCGAGGCCTGTGAAAGTTGGAAGGCCATGGAGCGTAATGCTATTTTGCCGATCTCCTGTATATTATATGCCTCATTACCTGATTATATAAGTTTTTAAGTTCAAATTGATTTTGTTCATTGTTTGATTGATTTTTGCATCGAGCAGTCCTGTATGATTGTTGTTCAGATGTACAGCTATTTTTTTTCCTGACAAGGGGAGCAGAAAATGAATATACTTATTATAATTGGGTGTGTCTGTGTTTGTAGATTTTGTATTGAAGAAAGAAAACTGAGCAATTATTTTTTTTGCACGTGTTGCGATATGAACCGAGACTCCATGCAAGTTAGGTAGAGTCTCAGCTGTATATTTTTGCTGTTGTCTGCATTTTGGATTGTGTTGGCTTCATTACCTGATCATAAGTTTTCGCGCTCATATTTGTTGTTTGATTGATTTTTACGTTAGAGTAGGGCTGTAAGATTCTCTGATGGTTTGGGGGACTGTATCCAAATATATAAGTTTGGAGGACTAATTTATCAAAAGCTCTGTATTCTTACAAATTAATGGTGTCATTTTTCATTTAACCTCTTTAATTTTTCTCTATGACCATGAAAGTATTAATAAGGACAAATTTGTATTTATCTTTTATTTAGCATTTTTAATTTAGAACTGGGTCGGAAATACTAAATAAGTTGTGAAAACTATACGGAATTTAGATTACTGTGAAGTTTAATCCTTAATTAATCAGCGTTAAATAAAAAAACTTGGCGCGGGTGATGGTTTGCTGCCAAACTTCACGGGATTTCTGAATCATGTGAAGTTTATAATAAACAAACTTCATAGATTAAGCAATTATATGTAGTGGGTTTAGTTGTTATAGCTTTAGTCTTTAAGGCTTGGATAAAATGTGCAGGGTTCGAATCCCAGTTTAGTAAAAAAAAATATTGTTCAAGGGAAAAAAAATATGTTGGAATGAGATTCAACTCAAGACCTCTTAAATTATTAAAGTTTAGCTTCTATATCATGAGTTTAATTTTAGTAAATACACTTTGAACAATTAAATTTAAAATATAACAGATACATCTAATATGAAAAAGATCACCATGACATGATAATGACAGAGATTGTTTGATAAAATCAACAACTACATTATTATTACTTGTATTATCTAGTGAAAGAGAAGTTTGATAAAATCAACAACTACATTATTATTACTTGTATTATCTAGTGAAAGAGAAAATATTCTTTCTAAAATTTCTAATTTTAAAAGTTCTTCAATTATTACTTGTATTATCTAGTGAAAGAGAAAATATTCTTTCTAAAATTTCTAATTTTAAAAGTTCTTCAATTTATTAAATTTGCAACATTAATACAAGTATGTGACTCTTCAATTGTAATAATAAAAATAACTCTTTTAAACATTTGTCAATTTTCATCAATCCAGTGTGCTATAATACATAAATAACTAGTTTGTACTTTAGATGTCCAAATATCATAAGTTAAATAAAATTTACAATTTAAACCTTGAAAATAAGAAATTATTTTTTCTTGTTCCTTCTGATAATGTTTTAAAATATCACGTTGACAAGTTTGACGAGAAATTTTTTTAAATACGGGGTAAAAACCATCTGTAAATAAATCATCAAATTCATCATCTTCTACTAATTTAAAAGAAATATTTTTAAGAATCATAAACCTAATGACGGATTTCCTGGCACGGGCTGCGTCATAATTCTAACTACCAAAAGATGAGGATTGAGAGATCATAGATTGTCGGATATCACATTGAGGCGTCTGGCCTTTGTTGTGTTTATCTAAATGGCGTTTGAGATGGTTGGTGTTGCTCTTATGATGTGCTTGGAAAATTTTGCCGCACAATGCACACTTAGCCTTCTGGGTGAGAATCCTACCGTGTTCATCCTTGGTGATATCTATCTTCTCGAAAAAATTCCACACATCGGATCTTGGCCTTTTAGGAGCTCTTGGTGTAGAATCGTCACCACGGATTCGGGATCAACATCGGTAGGATCGGTAGGAGTAGCCATAGTAGGATGACTCATTTCGAGAGTTGGGTTGTGCTCTTCATAATCAGATCCGAAAGCCATTTCAGTGAAGAATTAGAGAGCTAAAGCGATTATAAGAGTGTATAAGAGAGAAGTAGATCAGTTTTGGATGAGGAAAACAATTAAAAACCCTCGCTATTTATAGAGGCAGTCCCCTAGACAAATGATCAAAATACCCTTATTTTTAACCGCTTTAGGGGCAAAATGGTCAAAATAACCAAAATGGACGTTATGGCCGGGCTGGCCAAAACGGTCACAAAAATGACGTTGTGGCCCGGCCCGACCCGACATTGTGCCGCGACACGGTCACATTATGTGACCAATTGCGGCCGCAGCTGGCCCTGGACCGAGGACATATCGCCGGCCGTTTTTACGACCGGGCCCGTTGCCGTGTGCCGTCGAGGCGGCCTTCATACCTGGGCCCGAAACCCGGGACTGGCCCAGGTTTCTAGGCCAAAGCCGGGCCCCGGCCCAGCCCGGCCAAATGGACACCCCTAGAGATGATACATAATAACTTGTTGTGTAACTTTGATCTCAGGAATAATCACCCTTCTCTAGTGATATTCTTGAGACTCCAACAACATGATAAACAAAAGATATTTATTATTTCCAAATCCAGGAAAATCTTACTTCAATAAACCAATCTAAACGCTTGAGTGCAATCCTTCTTGAAAACTATATAATAAAATTCCCTTTCTTTTGGTTCATTGCATCTTTTTCTTGAGTAAGCAAAGATAGAGATGAGGGAGGTATTTCTGTATTATTATAAGTTTAGATTCACTGTATTTAAGTGAATGCCATCTGTCACCAAATTGTTTTATAGAAGTTTGGCAAAAATTTCTAGGGAAAAGGAAAAAAAATTAACTGCCATGGCTCGTTATTAAAAAATTACCTATCTTCTTTTTCTTTTTCTTCATACAATCACAAAAAAATTCATCATTCTAATTATGATATATACAATATAAACCGCTTAAACTATAAATTAATTTTTAGGCTCCTACTAATATACAATCGTCTCGCACCGTATGAGCGCCCGAAAGAATTCTCAGAAAAAACTAAAATAAATACGTAATGAGTTATTTCATAGTATTATTTTCATTTTTTTTATTGTTTTACTTTATATATTTATATTTATTTTTTTATTTCTTTTAACAAGGAGTTATTTCATAGTTGATGCTACAAATGTTGAGCCAAAAAAGCAATGTTTATAAAACCAAAATTTTAACTAGGTTCTAAGTTGGTGCGTATGGAATCAAACTCAGACCTACCCAATACCCATAATGGTCCTACCAGTAATAATCTCCCAGACCTAAATTTTCCAAAATTGCCCAAATTGGAGCCACGCCCTTGCCAAAATGCCCCCTGCAATGATGAAACTCAGCTTTTTGAGGGGCCTCACAAAAATTAAACTTTCCCAATTCCCAAAAAGGATTCCCAAAACGCCCGCCGCCGTGTCGGGATTTTTTTATTGACCGGCTGTCCCAAACCCAAATTAAATATTAACTAATCAGGATTTAGTGCCAAACTAATCTTGCTTTATCCGACAGCGAGCCAAACTATATACTTAAAATTATAATAAATTTCACAAACCCCCTGGAACTTTGGGGTGATTTTGCACAAAACGTTTGTGAACTTTAAACATCATCTGAAAATTGAAAAAAATATTCATACGAATATAGATGTTTATCTAACTGGCCAGTCAAAGTATGAAATTAGAGAAAATTCCCTAAATATTGAGCGGCTTCGCGGAATCCCAATGAATTTCCAAAAAAATCCTGCAAGCTGACTGTAAGTTTTTTTTACAAAAATAAACCCCCATTTTGTTAAACGCGTAAAAAAAACTTTCTAAAAATTTTATGTTTCCCTCTATTTTTCTTATCCGACAAATCCTGGAAAGGGATCTCAAACTTCAAGTGAACTTTTCAAAAGCTCCAGGGGTTTCTGTGCAAAAAATTCAAAAGTTTAGGAGGTGAAGTTTTTACCCTTGAATTGTTAGCTTTTTTGTAGGAGAAAAGTGGGCTTGATAAATATATATAAATAAATTAATTAATAAAAGAGGAAGTTTTTGTTTCCCCTTATGATGTTGTCTCTTAGTTTGGTCCCGGAATGCCCCTTTCCATTTCTTCTGGATATAAAGGAAAGCGTCTTCCTATTGGTGAGCTCGTGATAATGCTTGTTCAAATTTACCTTTATACCCCGTGGTAGGAATTAACCTTTTGTTTTCTGTCTCTCTTTCTTTTTATTTTTTTTTCTTTCTTTTTTTTAACTAATAAAATATTACACATGTGATGATGACAAGCGGGCAACAAGCTGCGCCGCTAATCTTTTCTTAATTGCAAAACCCAACCTACGAAACACGTACTCAGCGGACCCTACTGTCGCCACATTATTATTCATGAATTTCTGTACCCTCCTGAGGAACTCCACCGCATCAGCTGCAAGGAAACCAAACGTATCGAAAGCGGAAACGGGATGAAGCTGTGGTGACTGTTCTTGCAAGTTTGATCATGTTTGCCCACCTTTGCCTCTGCTGCTCTATCCGTTGCATGCCCAACATTGAACTCTCCATTACCAAACCCCACCAAATATTTCTTTTTCTTTTTATATTTTTGAATTGGGGTCAGATATATTATTGTATGCATGTGCAAATCGAATAGGAGTCCTCATATCCGATCCACACTCACTAAACACAATCCAAATTTGATCAACTTTTATTTGGATTCTCTTTAGGTTTTAAGTGCTTGTAGGGTGTTGCTTAATGTTTCCACACAAAAAAAAAAAAATTATACAAGCACCAAAAAAATTGCCAATAAAATATTGTCACCTCTTCATTTTTAAGAAGAAGGATTAATATGGTCGAGCCTTTGAAATTGTTTTCCTCTCCATAAATTATTGGATTCTAGAGTACCAGGTAAAGTTTGTTTTTCTCTCCATAAAATTAGGGGGTGTTTGTTTCAAATCCTAAAGTTATAGGATTTGGATTTCCATCTAGGATTTGAAATCCATAGGTTTTTTAACATGGGTTGGGGTTTCTAAAATGTTGTTTGTTTCATCAAAATTTTGGGATAACAAATACTATAATGTGTAATATTTTATTTGGTTCAAACTCAAATTGTAGAATTACAAAGTTTAGAATTTGAAATCTAGGCTAAATCCTCCCTCAAAGAGGTGATTTCACAAAGAGATTAATGTGTATCCTTGTCATAGGAGGGGATTTCCTCCTATGACGCCTCTAAAATCACATGATTGAGTAACATTGTGGATGATCCGCTCCGTTGAACTTGATCTACATATTCTAAAACCCCAACACACCAAGTTTGGGGTGAACCCGTCGTCGTTTGACCATTTATCCACTCGTATCAATTTTAACGGTTTTGAATGAATAGAACTTTTCACATGGCTTGATGGAGGGTCAAACGACGACGGATTCACCCCAAACTTGGTGTGTTGGGGTTTTAGAATATGTAGATCAAGTTTAACGGAGCGGATCATCCATAATGTCGCTCAATCATGTGATTTTAGAGGCGTCATAGGAGGAAATCCCCTCCTATGATAAGGATACCCATTAATCTCTTTCACAAATGCTATAACATATTAGTTTTTTGTTATTTGGTTATTCAATATCCCGAAATTTATTTTGAATCAAACAAATCTACTCATCTATACAAATGGTAGAATCCAAGATTCACTATTCATGCTACAGTAAAATTGACTGTAGCAAGCATGATACTGGATACTGTAGTTTTTTTTAAAACACTGTAGCACATGGGGATGCTCCAACATTGTAAAAAACTATAGCAGAGGTGGGAACTGTAGCAATCAAAAAAATATATATAAAATATCACTTTAGCATTAAAAGTGAGATTATTGTAGCAGGGGAAAAAAATTTCGTACTCTGCAAGGTGTTCACGGCTAGTGTTATGAAATCCACAAACTCAAAAGAAAAATCCATTTTTTCATCATAGAATTTGTAATCCACCCTATATCCAAAAAAAAATTTCAAACAAACAACCCCATGGATTCTAGAGACTGTAGAGTGATTGACTTGTGGAATTACACGCAAACCAAGGCTTATGCAAGAAGAATATATAAAAGGACCAACATCAAAATCACTACTTTTGGGATATGCTTGGCAATATGGCAACAGTCCCAATAATTTTGTAAAACCGCCAAGATAACATCAAGTGGCTCCCCATTTTGTGGGACATTGTTTAAGGAATCTCAACATTTTCCTATCTATCATCATATTTGATTATTTTTTTAAAAAAATTATCACATGACTAATGAAATTAATCACTAACACTTCATTAGTACATCATTTGAGACTTCTTATCCTACAAGTTCTTCAATATATCCAAGAAAGCAAGTTTGATTCCCCTTTTTTTTCAAGAGACAGACCAATTTAGCATGATTCACAAGTTTTTTCCCCTTTAAAAATCCTAAGAATTGTTTGTGAAATTAGCATTGCTATCTTATGATTACTCATTATTACCTTTGCTACCCCTTTTTCCTAAGAAAAGAAAAAGAGTAGCCACACTACGCCCGCTCTCCCCCCACCCCCCAAACAAAAGAATAAAAAAAGAAAAAAACCAACACGCGCACGCTCACACTAAAAAAGAGAGAGAGAGCGAGCGAGCTATTCTGATGCAAGAAATGACATAGAAAAAAAAGGGAGAAACACACTAATATGGTTAAGGGGAAAAAAAAAACACTAGAAGACAAGTGGAAACAAAAGGTGTTTGATTTAAATCCTTGTTCTATTCTAATCAATCTCCTCAACTCCAATTTGGATTCGCATTATTTGTAACCAGTGCATCGCATCAAATGTAAAGTTATGCTATGTCATTTCTTAATCAATTAATGAAAGGGAGAAACACACTAATATTCACTTTTCCATTTACCAACTATAATCACATTTTTATCATCAAACTAAAGATATTATACTTATTCTTCTATTCCTTAATTATGTTCTGCCTCAGTGGAAGGCAGAAGAGATGACTAGAAGGATCGTAAGATTTTGTTAGGTGACATCTAAATGTATCAAGTTTTGAACATAAGGAGAAAAAAAATCATATTAATGATCAAAAGAGCTTAAAGGCTTAGATTAATTAAGAATGATTAATTGGGTAGCCTTAATAATGATTCATTTGTCACTAATCCATTCCCAAACAGTGCAACTTGATGTTAAAATATAAAACCATCATTTTATTCTTCTTTTGTGATGATAAGTATCCTATGATTCCGATCGAAGGTCATTATTTAGTTCCGTGTTGTATTATTGAAGTGGGTTATGTAGATTCGTCATGATCTAGTTGTCTTCTAATATTCCCATCTCATAATAATATAAAAAAAGATTGTATCGAGCATAATAAACAAGTTACGTGGCTCATCATTATTCAACCCTAGTCAACAAGTTCTTGAACTTCTTTTATCAAAATAAATAAATAACTTCTTGAACTTATAATTGTTAGATTAAGTCTATTGGGTATTGGGTTAATGAGCTGTGACCCGTTAACCATACCCCTATTTGTATGACTATATATATATATCTCTCTAGTATCTGAATAAATCAATGAAGTTAGGGTTTTTGCTCTCTCAATTATCTCTTTCTACATGGTATCGCCACCACTAGCCGTGCCACTACAGTAACCGCGCCGCTACAGTGTCGCGCCGTTTGTTTTGTTCCTTCTTTTTCCATGGCCTTGAATAGGTGATTCGAGGCCACACATGACCCGATCCGGTCATCTACTACTGTCTATTTTTTTTGATCTGCTATTAGTCTATGTTTAAAGAACAGATCTCTACTACTGCCCTGATTATTTGACTACTATCTGCCTACCACTATTGTGCAACAATGTCGGAAACAGATCTCTCCTCCTCTTCTACATCTCCCTCTGCTGCTGCTGGTCAGACTTCTGCGCCCAAGGTAGTCTTGGGGACTACAATAAAATTGAATGGTACAAACTATCTACTCTGGGCTCAGGCTTTCCGCATCTTCATTGGCGCTCAGAGCAAACTTCCACATCTTCTGGCCTCTCCTCCACCCACCACAGATCCCACCTACAGTTCCTGGCTCTCGTCTGATTATTGTGTTATGACGTGGCTCCTCAACAGCACGGAACCACAGATTAGTAGCAGTGTTATGTTCTTAACCACTGCGAAGGAGATGTGGGACAGCCTGAAGATTATGTACGGAAATGAGAAGAATGCTTCCCGTGTATTTGAGATTTATGAGCGACTGTTTACGCTCAAACAGGGAGATAGATCAGTTCCGGAGTTCTTTGGTGAGTTAAAGGGACTGATAGACGAACTGGAGATGCATCAGCCTGCAGTAGCTGATGCAGCGACGCTGTTGGGATATCGCCGTGACTTGGCAGTGTCCAAGTTTCTTTCTGGATTGCACCCTAACTTGCAGTCCCAGGTGAGAGGACAGATATTGGGTGGAGATACCATCCCCTCACTGACTGCTACATTCTCCAGAGTCATGCAGGTCTCTACTGGTGTTTCTTCTGATACTTCTGCACCGTCTCCACCTTCAGTGGATCAGTCTGCCATGTTCTCTAGTAGAGACAGAGGCCGCGATCGTGGTCGTGGTCGTGATTCTTTGGGAGGACGTGACTCTTTTAGTGGGAGACAGGGTGATTCTGATAGGGGTTCACGTCAGTGTGGTCATTGTGGGAGGACCAATCATATTTCTGAGAAATGCTGGGAAAAGTTTGGTCGTCCTCAATGGGCCCAAGTAGCCGATGCCGAGTCGACTCGCTCACCTATTTCTACTATTATTTCTAGTAATCCAGCTACTACTGTTCCTACTGTTCAGATTTCTCAGGCAGATTATGAGAGGTTACGCCAGCTAGAGATCTCTCAGAACAGTCATTCGGCTACTCATGCATCCTCTTCAGGTATGGATGCTTACATAGCTTCTCCTCATGAACCATGGGTACTAGATTCTGGAGCCTCATCCCATATGACAGGTATAAAGGATCGTTTTGTCTCTTTACATCTTTCTGATAAGTTTCCCTCTATTCGCATCGCTGATGGTACACTTTCTCCAGTTCTTGGTGCTGGAGTAGTTCATGCTACTTCCTCTTTGAAACTCACTGATGTGTTATATGCTCCTAAATTCCCTGTTAGCTTATTATCCATTAGCAAGTTTACAAAGCACAATAACTGTAAAGTCACCTTCTTTCCTTTTTATTGTGTTTTTCAGGACCTAACAACTGGGATGACGATTGGTTCGGGGGCATGAGAGAGGAGGTATGTACTATTTGGACGACAGTGTGCCGGGTGCTGGTCTTGTTGCAGCACAGCCTGATTCTACCTTACTGTGGCACTGACGTCTGGGTCATCCTTCACTACAGAAACTTAGATCGGTAGTTACTGTTCGGTCTTCCCTTTCTTCTTTAGGTTGTGAGTCATGTGAACTGGGTAAGCACCATCGTGCTTCTTTTCAGAGTCGTGTCGATAAACGCAGTAGTTTTGCGTTTGAGTTAGTTCATTCTGATGTCTGGGGTCCTTGTCGTGTTCCCTCTGTGAAGGGTTTTCGATATTTCATTGTTTTTGTTGATGATTTCTCTCGCATGACTTGGCTATATTTGTTGAAAGAGAGGTCTGAAGTCTCGCATGTTATTGAACTCTTTTATAATGAAATAAAAACCCAGTTCTCTACTTCTGTTCATATTCTTCGTACTGATAATGCTTTGGAATATATGAAAAATAACGTTTCAAAATTTTGTGCTCTTAATGGTATTATTCATCAAACTTCATGCTCTCACACTTCACAACAAAATGGAGTTGCTGAGAGGAAGCATAGACATATTCTCGATGTTGCTAGAACACTGATGATACATATGAATATTCCAAAGTACTTGTGGTCGGATGCTGTCCTCACTGCCTGTTATTTGATTAATCGCATGCCTTCCTCTGTTCTTGATGGTTTGATACCATTCCACTGTCTTTATCCTGCTAAAAAACGTTTTTCTGTGATTCCTCGAGTTTTTGGTTGTACGTGTTTTGTTCAGGATTTGACTGCTGGTTTGGATAAATTGTCTCCTAGGTCCATTAAGTGTGTGTTTGTTGGATACTCACGTACCCAAAAAGGGTATAGGTGCTATCATCCGACCACCAGGAGATATTTTTTTTCTGCTGATGTTACCTTTTTTGAGTCTGTCCCATATTTTTCCTCTGGTTCCACTACCTCTGTTAGTCCACAGGTGCCACTACCTTCTACGGCTCCCACTACTATTCCGGTATCTGCTCCTGAGGCTACTGCACCAAAGCCTCTACTGACATACTCTCGCCGTCCTAAAGTACATACACCTGTCTCTGCTCCTGCTGACTCTTCTTCTCCAGCTGCAGGTCCATCTCATGTCGAGCCTCATATCTCTTCTGACTTAGATGTTCCTATTGCTCTTCGTAAAGGTAAACGGTCTTGCCCAAAATATCCTATCTCTCTTTTTGTCTCTTATGACCGTCTCACCTCATCATTTCGTCAGTTTGCTTTGTCATTGTCCACTATATCTTTACCCAGGTCAAATGAGGAAGCTTTGTTAGTACCCGCCTGGAAACAGGCTATGGATGAGGAGATGAATGCACTGTTTTCTAGAGGGACTTGGGATTTGGTCTCTCTACCTGCTGGAGCGACTGTGGTTGGCTGCAGATGGGTGTATACCTTGAAATATCGTCCTGATGGGTCTGTTGATAGATATAAAGCTCGCCTGGTTGCTAAAGGATATACCCAGACATATGGTATTGACTATTTTGAAACCTTTTCTCCCGTTGCTCGTCTCAACTCCATCAGAATTCTTTTCTCTCTGGCTGTTAATATGGATTGGGCGATGCACCAACTAGATGTGAAGAATGCTTTCCTTTATGGTGATTTGGACGAGGAGGTTTATATGGAGCAACCTCCTGGGTATGTTGCTCAGGGGGAGAATCTTATCTGCAGGCTGAGAAAGGCCATCTATGGGTTAAAGCAGAGTCCTCGAGCTTGGTTTGATAAGTTCAGCAAGGTTATTTCTAATGTTGGTTTTCAACGTTGTCAGTCTGATCACTCTGTCTTTCTTCGACGCACAACAACTGGTTTGGTTATTTTAGTCGTATATGTTGATGATATTCTGCTGACTGGGAGTGACTCTGTTGCCTTAGCTGAGACTAAGGAGTATCTAAACCGTCATTTTGTCACTAAGAACATGGGAAAGCCAAAGTATTTTCTTAGAATTGAAGTTGCATATAAAAAACATGGTCTGTTGTTGTCTCAAAGGAAGTATGTGCTAGATTTACTAGAAGAAGCAGGTCTCTTGGACTGCAAACCTGCAAGCACTCCAATGGAGGCAAATGTTGATTTGTGGCGTGATGATACCTCTCTACTAGATGATGCTGCACGATATAGGAGACTAATTGGGAAGCTAATATATTTAACAGTTACTAGACCTGATATTACTTTTGCAGTAGGTGTGCTGAGTAGATTTATGCACAAACCTAGAGAGGTTCATTGGATAGCAGCTCTGAAGATTTTGGCATATGTCAAAAGTTGTCCTGGCAAGGGATTGTTATATAAGAAGCATGGGCATACTCACATTTCGGCTTTCTCTGATGCTGGCTACGCAGGAGACATGAGAGACCGAAAGTCAACCTCAGGATTTTGTACTTTTGTTGGAGGTAATCTTGTGACTTGAAGAAGTAAGAAACAAGATGTAGTATCACGATCTAGTGCAGAGGCCGAATATAGAGCAATGGCTCACACTGCTTGTGAGATGGTGTGGCTAAGAAAGTTTATGACAGAGCTTGGTTTTGTTCAGTCTGGACCCATGCCAATGCATTGTGACAACCAGTCTGTCATTTATATTGCACAGAATCCTGTGTTTCATGAGAGGACAAAACATATTGAAGTTGACTGTAATTTTGTCAGAGATGCTTGGGAGAAGAAGATAGTATCTCTCACATTCACTCCGTCCTCACAACAACTTGCTGATATTCTTACCAATGCTACTTCTTCAAAGGTGTTTTCTACTATATGTGACAAGCTGGGCATGGTGGATATTTATGCTCCAGCTTGAGGGGGAGTGTTAGATTAAGTCTATTGGGTATTGGGTTAATGGGCTGTGACCCGTTAACCATACCCCTATTTGTATGACTATATATATATCTCTCTAGTATCTGAATAAATCAATGAAGTTAGGGTTTTTGCTCTCTCAATTATCTCTTTCTACAATAATAATATAAAAAAGATTGTATTGAGCATAAACAATTCATTTATATTATAATACATTAGTAGATTAAATTCCAAGTGGATTAAAGCTTTAGATGTTTGGCAAATAAAGGGTTTATAATTCATTTGTTTTTTTTGTTATAATGGCCAAAACAACTTTAGTAGGGAGAGGAGATAAAAGGAGAAAGAAATGAATGCGAAAGAGTATAGCATTTACTCGGTTGGATATATACATTATAACCCACTAATTCATATATGATAAAAATAGGTATGCTTGGTATCAAACACAAGTTTTTGTGCTTGGTAGTCACGTGACATATTCTCCTCTACTCATTGAAATCGGGACCCACATTTACATGGGTTGGAGAGTAGTTGAGAATTGTAATGAGTGGATGAGAATATGACACCTCACTACCAAGCACAAAATTTATGTTTGGTACCAAACATACACATTTCTCTCTTTATATATATATATAAGTTGTTTTTTTGCTAGATTATAATTGAAAAGAACACAAATGCCACCCTAAGTTTTAAGGTTCTCAGCTATACGCCTTCAACTACCAAGATTTTTCGAAAAGCCTCCCCAGAAAATTTTTACCCTTAGAGGTCGCGATTCACTCTTACAGGGAGTCGTTGACAAATGTTGAAACTTGCAGGGGGCATTCAGAGAAATCAAAAGGGGTTCGGCTGAAACTGGCCTTTTTAGAATTCCTTTCCTCGAGCTGGATCGGGGCAATTCGGCGAGCGCGAGGGGCGCATAAAAGTACCGGCCCATCAACCGGCTGCCGCACGACGCGACGCAGACCGCGTGCAGGGGGCGGACCGGCAGTTGTCATCGTCGTTAAAAAGCGGAAGCAGGTCGCCGGCGGCACCAACAGCGGTCAATTGGGGTGTCCTCGTGGGGACCACCACCCACTCGAACCCTCTTCCCGGAAAGTGTTGACCCCCCCTCCCCTCCCCTCCCACCACTACCGGACGCGACCCACTTTGACGCTACCCCCCGTGGGCCCCAGACTGTTATTACCTTTTTTTGGTTGATGCCAAAAAAATAAAACAACAAATCCCCGATGATGCTCATACGCAAGAATAATCTTGAAGTTACTTAAAGGAGGTGTTTGTTTCGAATAGTATAATTTTAGGATATCGATTTTATCATGTGGTTTGAAATCCATATGTGTTTTGTTATAGGTTTGGATTTCTACAACGTTTATTTGTTTCATTAATATTTTGAGATTTGAAATACTACAATTTAAAATATTTTGTTTGTTTCGAACTCAAATTGTACCATTACCAAATACTAAAATTTTGTAATATGATGAATATGCTATCTTGGTGAGGTTAATTTTCACAAAAAGGTAAAATTAGGATTTGTCAAATCCTCTCCAATTGAGAGGTAAGCACACTCATTTCTGGGATTTGCCCAAGATCCTCTCCAATGGAGAGGATTTTGCAAATTCTAAAAATCAGACATTTTTTACACTTTTGGGATTCAATATTCTAAAAATTTTCTTAAAACAAACAACATATATGAAATCACAAAACACAAAAAACTCATTTTTTTGATCCCAAAACTTATAATCAATACAAAATGCCAAAATTTTTTGGTGAAACAAACACCCCTTGTAATTGCATGCGTATTTTTCACTATTAAACAACCCAAAGATACTTTTTTGTCAAAGGAAATTGGTGTTCGTTTTGGGTTAAAAGATTTTTAAGGTGACGGGGGGGCTTTTCGAGAACCCCAAAAACTGAAGGGGGAGGTTTTGTGAAGTTTTATTACCCACACGCGAAAGGGGGAAGCGGAGACACCGAGACCCGACAAGGTGGGCCCGGTCTGCCCAATTGCCCACGAGCGCGAGCTCACCACCAAAATCCCCCAACGGAATCTCAGCCGTCGATCCCCCCGCCACGTTCGCAATTCCTCGTCCTCCTTCCGCCCTCCCCCCCTATTAACAACCCAACCCCAAATTTTCAAAAACCCTAACCCTTCAAAAAAAAAAAAAAAAAAAACCCCCCAGATCTCTCGAAACTTCCCATTTCGCGATGTCGACCGCGAAACTGGAAAGAGCTCGACGGAGTCGGAGGCGGTCTCGGGCCTCGACTACGAGGATACGGAGCTCACCCTGGCCTTGGTTTGGGCCCGCCGAGATCCGAACACCGATAGGAGCGCGGGTTCGAGACCACCGTCGATCTCAGCCTGGCGACACGCGGCGCGCGATATGACGGCGGAGTCGCCGGAGGGAGGGGCGGCGAGCCCGAGCAAGCCCCCCCGCTGCCAAGTGAGTAGCCGAAATTTGTAGCTTTTTTCCGTTGGCCTACCGAATTTAACCCCGAAAAGACCTCGGATTCGCTCGGAGCAAATTGTGTGCGAGGGCATTCCGGTCATTTACGTTAGATGGAATCAATTCTGAACTCTTGAAGTTGCATATAAGTGAAATCGTTAGTTAGGTTAATTTTTGTTATACATTTTAACGAAGTGGAGCTAGGATGGTTCCATTTTATTAACTAATTATTTCCTTTTTTTTAAATTTATTGCCCATGATAAATATGGGAATCTATAATTAAGGCTTTCGTTATTTACAAAGATCTTAATTATATGGGAAAGGTTTAAAGAAAGTTTAGTACTTATGTTCTCCAGTTCTTTCTATGAATCACCATTATTAAAAAAAAAATCATATTATTTCCGATTAAAACCCTGTTGGTAAATCAGTAAATCACTTGGTACCCAAGTCTTCATTCATTTAATTTGGTTCATGTACAGGAAAATAAGGAGTGTTTCCCTATTAAATGAGTAGTTTGATCATTTCTGGGGTATAATTTTATTTTGATGAAAGGCCTGGCCTGTGACTTACTGATAATAAAGAAGACTAATATTTACAAAGATAGAAATACTAAAAATTTGTTTAAGGCGTTCTGCTTCTAAACGCAAAGAGTTCTTTGATATCTTCCTGAGTGTGACTCACCAATACTAATTTCTAGAATTGTATTCATATTTCAGGGCTCAAGCGGCGGGATGGCCACCGGTGAGAGCCTTCCGCAAGAATGTTTTGAAGAGCTGCACCTACGTGAAGGTGGCTTTCGATGGGGCACCTTACCTTCGTAAGGTTGATCTTGAGACTTACGGCCGTTACGAACAGCTTTTGGCTGCCCTTGAAGAAATGTTCTCTTGCTTTAAGATCCGTATGTCAGCGATCTCTCAAGATCAGTGTTTTTTAGTTGTTATTTGGATGAATTTGCATTTAATATAAATTTCATGGGTTTTGAGCAGGTAATGTTTCGAACGAGAGGAGGCTTGTGGATCCTGTGAATGGTACTGAGTATGTGCCAACATATGAGGATAAGGATGGTGACTGGATGTTAGTGGGCGATGTCCCTTGGAAGTAAGTGGCCTTTTTAAGTTGATAAACAAATATGGTTTTCTTCTTTTTTGGCTGTATATTTGTAGTTGATTTGTTAAAATATTGTTGATTAGGATGGTGACTGGATGTTAGTGGGCGATGTCCCTTGGAAGTAAGTGGCCTTTTTAGTTGATAAACAGATACATTTACCTTCTATTTTGGCTGTATATTTATAGTTGATTCGTTAAAATATTGTCGACTAGGATGGTGACTAGATGTTAGCGGGCGATGTCCCTTGGAAGCAAGTGGCCTTTTTAGTTGCTAAATAGATGCAGTTATCTTCTATTTTGGCTGTATTTAAAGTTGATATGTTAAAATATTGCCGATATGATGCTTGAATAGGTACGCGCAAACTATATGCACCTTGAATTACCGACTGTGTTTAGTTATATGTATAAAATTTTGATTTATGTACTAAATATACAAATGTCAAATGCATTTGAGTATACAGAACATACAGTTTCGTGTACTCGAGTACATTAGTGGAGACGAGAGATTAGGAAATTATGAGTGGTAGATCTGAAAGTCTGTTTATGTAGGATAATTCCTTTTTAGTTTAATTTATTCTGATGCAAGGACAACCGACAACTTGAACCATGAAATGGGATCTGAAATTAATGTTTGAGAAGCTAGTGTCTTTAAAGTTCTACTTTATGAGGTTGAGTTAGTTCATTAGGAATTGCACCCCAATTTGCTTGTTATTTTTAGATCTAGCATACTGAAATAAAAAGATGTGAGCACTTGTGAAGGCATGTCAAATGGAGCAAAATATTGGAAGTCTTGCATGAATATTAAGATCTCTGTACAGTTTTAGTGGCTTTAAGATCTCAAGGCCTGCTAAGCATTCAAACTCATGATAAACTGCTTGGATAGGACGGAAAGATGTTCATAGATATTCACTTTTATTTTTAATTGCTTGCGTTATTTGTTTGTTTATTTGTTTGTTCTCCTTTGTTGGGACATAGAGGGAAAGATGAGTGGTTAACAGAAGCTAGCTGTAATATGGCTCATTGCTGGTTATTGCTCATGCCTCATGAAAGAGAGCGAATAGGTCTTATGCTGGTTATTAATCTTCACCATTAGTAGCATTTTTTTCTCATTTTAGTAACACAGTTTGAAGTTTATTTTTCCAAAATCCATCGTCAACTATAAGGTCATATAACAAGAAAGATTCACTAATAAAAGCAGTCCTGACCTCATCTCAGCTATATGTGAGTAATATGAAATGTGGACAGGAGAAAGCCTTGCTATGCATAAATATAGCTGGAGATAGGAATCAGATGTTGCATCATCATAAGAAGCACTAGAGTGGATAAGGTGGTTGCTGCTTTTGGCTAGAGAAAAGGATGGAGCAACTATTGCAGCCATATTATTGTTTTACAATCAAGTGGACTGAGGAATCTCTTAATATGTGTAGTGAAGACTTTTTAAATTGAGCAGCTATTAAGGACATATTTTTAATAACTTTGGCAAGGTGTTCTGTCTAAGAGCAAGACATCTGTTGGTGTCAAAAAGATGACCCATGAGCCAAGGATGGACCACATGTTATAAAGGGTTGGCTGGTTCCCACCGTGACCCACTGGGTAGCTAGATGTTTAGGCTTTATGGATACTGCATCTTAAGTACACCCTTCTTTGTGTATGATTGTCGAAATTATCAAAAAGAAACTGTCTAGAGCCCAAGAGAGAGAGAAAAAATCATTTCTTTCATGTAGTGTGGGACTTAGTTATCCGAAGCTCTTTATCTAAACAATATTCGCCATTAAGATTTTATGGAAACTACCTTCTCTTGCATCAAATTATATGTTTGTACTAAAAGAGGTGGATAAACTCTAAATCTCTGACGTATCTAAAGGATTTGGATTCTCTCAACTATCAAAAAGTAATGGGGGATCACTACTTTTGATTGCAACCATATACCATTTGGTTGATGGTTGCGATTCATTTTCATCTTGAGTGAAAAGTGGGAACTACTGCAATATATGAGAATATGTTTAGTGCTGCAATATAGAATGAACCGCAATATAGAATGAACCGCAGTCGTCTACTAAACAATAGACGGTAGTAATTAAAAGTAGTGGTCTCATCATTACTTTTTGGTAGTGGTGAGGATCCAAATCCATATCTGAGCATTTTATTTTTGTTGAAATCGTTATGCGCTGCATTCCCTGCCTTAAGATGGCCATTTGGTACATTTTTTAAAGATAGATATGATATGAAGTGAACATCATTCTTAGGAAACAAAATGCAAGGATATGATGAACTGGTATGAGATGATGAAAGACGTGATAGAAGGAGCCACAAGTTGAAGTGCTATTCATGCTTATGAGTAATCAACTAATAGTTTCATTCCCAATTAATATGTGCTTAGGGTATAAAGATCTAGTGGACATAAGTCATGTTCCCTATACTGCTTAATTATATGTCCATCATGGAAAATATATTGGATGAGAATCACTACAGGAAAACATCTTATAAATGTTTTCTGAGGCTTTTGTCAGGTGTACTAGTGCAAACTTGGACATGGTACAGGCAACGGGATATGATATATATATATATATATATATATATATATAATATATATATATATAAAGAGAGAGAGAGAGAGAGAGAGAGAGAGAAACTCAACCCAAGCATAGGTTTTTGTACTTGATAGTGAGGTGACATATTTTTCTCCACTCATTCAAATGGGGATCACATTCACATGAGTTGGGGAGTAAATGAGAATGATGCATCTTACGGCGAGAGGGAGGAGGGAGGGTTTCGGAGGGGGAAGAGGGGATTCCTCGATTTGGGGATTCTTCAATCTGAGAGAGCTGGGTTGTTGGGTTGGGTGACGAGACGGAGGGGTTTTATTACCCATCGCTGGCAATTTTTCAAAAAAGCCCAAATCTGCGTCAATGCGTACGCATCTATGCGTATGAGAAACGCACTATATATATATATATATATATATATAATATAATATATAATATATATATTATATATATATATATATATATATATAAAGAGAGAAATGAGTATGTTTGGTACCAAATTTCTTAAAGGAACTTGATAGTGAGGTGGATTAATCTGGTCCATTCATTCTAATGATGAATGCATAGAGAAGAATTGATATAATTTTGGCAAAAAAAACCTATATTTTTAAACAAGAGTGAGCTGGCTTTCCTCTCTCTCTCTTTCTCTCACCCTCCCCAGCATTCAATCTCAACTCTCTCTCTCTCCTCAATCTTAATCTCTCTCACCCCTCCCCTCTCTCAATCTCCTTTGTAGCCGCCGCCGACGACTCCTCTCCCAGCTGCGACTCCTCCTTCGTCGTAGCAGCCGTCGAAGCAGCTGCCGCAACAACTCCTCCGCCACTCAAATCTCAATCTCTCTCTCCTCTCTCAATCTCATTCCGCTGTCGTCGTAGCAACTCCTTTGTAGCTGGCGACGACTCCTCCGTCGGAGAGCCGTTGCAGCGCAGCTCCTTCGTCGCGACCCAAGAGCTGCTGCGGTGGATCGTCGTCGTCGGCGGCTTGGAGAGGAGGAGCTGTTGCGGCAGCGGCGGAGGAGTCAGCGGCGGCGAGGAGTGAGATTGAGAGGGAGGGGAGAGAGATTAAGAGGAGAGAGATTGAGATTGAAATGAGCTGGGAAGAGCGGGAGAGAGGAAAGTCATCTCACTCTTGTTTTAAAATGTGGGTTTTTTTACAAAAATTAACATCAATTCTTCTCTATCCACTCATTATTAGATGAATGGATCAGATTAATCAGACTCACTACCAAGTTCATTTAAGAACTTGTACCAAGCATACCCATTTTTCTCATATATATATATATATTATATATATATATATATATATATAATATATATAGAGAGAGAGAGAGAGAGAGAGAGAAATATGGAGAAATCTGGTACCACAGTTCTTGCATTGAACTTGGTAGTGAGGTGGCCAAATCACGCCCTACATCACACCTTGAAAATGGAACCTCTTTTTAAAAGTAGGTGAATATTGACTGAGGCTTTCTCTTCAAGGTGTGATGTCGGGTGGGGATTTGGTACCTCACTACCAAGTTCAATGGAGAAACTTGGTACCAAGTTTCTTCATATTTCTCATATATATATATATATATATATAATATATATATATATATATATATCATATATATATATACACGATCTTGTTTTTCATTCACATGTTATGAGAACTAGAATCTCTATAACATTTTTATGTTTCTTTTATGGAATAGATTATAAATTGAAAACATGCTTATTTTTAACTAGATGCCCATACGACCCTTTAAAATCATCCTTTTTTACTAGTTATGGGCTAAAATGAACCCATCCCAATTCCTGAGTCTAATGAGTTGCATAAATTTAAGATAAAGTGTACAAGACACGTCCGAAGAAGTGTATCACGAATTTTAAAGCTAAGACGTGTTATATTATATTATTATTAAGTAGATGTTTGAATAAATGTATGTATATATTCAAGAAGTGTCCAATGTGTGTTGAACACAGACACAAATATGGTAAGTGTCGTACACAAATATGGTAAGTGTCGTACACAAATACGGGAGCCTAGATGAAGTGTCCGAGTAACATAGTTGCTTGGCTATATGTTCATCACGGGAAATATGTTGCACAAGGATCACCATAGAATGGAGAAGCCACATTTTATACATGCTCTCTGAGGCTTCTGTCCTTGATAGTTGTATTAACTATGAATTATCTCCAATCAATACAGTTCAAACATTTTTTCACAATTTTTAGAAATTTTACCACTTTTCAACCTGTTCTCGTGTTCACAAATTTTGTACCATTCATGACAATGAATGGTCAATTGATAATTTTAGTCTTAATAAATATTTGCTTAAGGTGCATAGATCCAATGGACTTTGATGACTTATATTGCCTATACTATTTAATTACATGTTCACCTCGGGAAATATATCGGACAAGCATCACCCTAGAATGGAGGAGTTACATCCTTCTGAAATTCTGCTTTATTTGACTGTTGTAGTAACTACTAAGGGTCAGTTTGGTATGGTTGGAACTTATAATAAGTCGCTTATATAAGTAGCTTATATAAACTGATGAAAATAGTCGTTTGGTAATCATATATTAGACGATACTTTTAAAAGCAGTTAAAGTGTCTGGCAAAACTATGCATAAATATTATTGTCGAAAGATAAAGATCATATATTCTAAAAGAATCTTGAGATTGCTTCTAAGAGCAACCCCTTAAAAGTAGAAGCAATTTCAATAAGTATGCACAAAAATAAAATTCACCAAACATCATTATTAACCGCTTCTCAAAAAATAAGTAGAAGCACCGCCAAGAAAAGCAATACCAAACTGGTCCCAAGTTATATCAAGTCAATCCAGTTCAAAGATTTTGTCACCATCTTTAGAACTTTTATTACTTCTCAACCTTCTCTCGTGTTCGTAATGCTGAAGTGCAGTTTTCTTATTCTGTTTTTGTTGAGAAATGAACAATAACTAGAATTTAGTGGACAATGATTGATCTCTATGTTTTCCATTTACAGAATGTTTGTTGCATCATGCAAGAGGCTCCGGCTGATGAAGAGCTCAGAGGCTGTCAATCTAGGTAAAAACTGAGGCCCAACTCCCTTCCACTGTCATATCTATGATCAAATTTAATCAAAGACATCTAGTGAACATAATGCGTAACTTTCTGTTACTAGGAATGTGATACTTGTTGCTTATTTAAAGTCAACGCTTGTAATTTTTAGTTCAAGTGCAAAGACATGGATCATGAAGAATGGTGTGTCGCATTCATTCGAAAGACCCATTGTGTTCTTTGACCTAGATCACAAAGAAAATAGGGTTGATTGCAGATACGCCCCTCTACTAGGATTGAATAATCACGTAGGCCTCATAAACTAATTTATTAGCAATTACACCCACTAAAACTCCGAAGATGTTATATCTTTTGTCCTCAATTTACAGGGTAACTTGGTCCTTTTCAGTCAACTGAAGGAAAATGAAAATTATATCGTCTTGTTATTCATATATGACATCTCAACCTAATGGAGTTAATAATGTTTTCAGGAGTTTTAAGGGGGTGTAAGTGCCAATAAAATGATTTAGGGGTATCTGTAATTAAGCCAAGAAAATAATTATTTAGCTGAAATATTAGTAATTAGCAAATCAAGAAGCTATGTTAACTTAACAATTATTCTTGCATAAATGCAGCTCCAAGAGCTTCTCAAGGAAACGCCCACACCACCCAGTGAAATGTTTGAGAGCCTTAGCATCTTTCAGATGATATGAGATTTATGTACAGGGGTTGCTTGCTGTTCTTTGGGGTTTTGTTTGGAGTTTTGACTGCTGTCTTTCTAAGGATAGAAAAGAGAGGTTGTGTTGTAGTTTTGATGTGAAATGTGGCTTGAAGACCTATATATATCATAGTTACAGGGATATATATACTCTTAAGGGTTAATTGCGAACAGATCCCCGTAGTATAACCCAATTGCAAAGAGACCCCTTGTAGTTCTTTTTGTTACGCATAGACACCTTGAAGTTCTACTCGTTGCGAATAGACTCTATAAGTTATTTTTTTTATATCTCAAAATCATTAAAAATGTTTGAGGAGGCAGATAGATCCCCTATAGTTCTATTGGTGAGGATAAACACTCAGTTGTTAATTTTTCCTTGACTTTTAAAAGAGTCAAAAAAGTTCACAAAGGGGGTGCATTCGCACTTGGGCTAATACTGCATGGGGCTTACCGGTGATAAGTAAAACTACATGGGGGGGTCTATTTGTTCCAAATAGAACTACAAATGGTCTCTTGGCAACTGCGTGATACTACTGGGGGTTTGTTCGCAATTAACTCTACTTCTAAAGTTTGTTATGTGATCAATAAAGGGCAGGGCTGTGTGTGTGCTTGTCTTGTATTAACTAGAATTTGGAGTCCTTGTCCAAGTTCAGGACGTCTTGTCTCTGATACTAGTCTCTTATTATAGAGCATCTCAGCTCAGTAATGGTAAAGCTCATGTGATAGCACTGATATTTGGGGTCGATAACATCAAAAATATCATGTGAATCTGCATATACGAAGAAGAGTTGTGAAACTTGGCCCAAATGTCATTAGCTGAAAAGTATTTAGATTTCTGAAATCCTTGCAATCACTAAAGAGCTCGAACAAGTGAGCATGCTCTTCATATAGCTCCAGAGCAGCCGGAGCCAAGCGGTTCTGAACCTTCGACGATCGATGCAAGAAAATTGCCGTCAGAGATGGGCGAAGGTCTTATTCTTAAGGGTGAAACAGGAAGCTCGAAGAGGAGGAAGAGAGGTGAAACTCGACGGAGGAGAAGCGACGGCGGACTCGGGAGAGATT